GTTTAAACAAATATTTTCTAATTATCTCTGAAATTTCATTCAGTACATTGCCTAGCAAATTACAGTCATATATTTTTTAATTCGCAGAAGTTCAGCATGGAACCTACTCTCTTGCATTTATATGTAAGACGATGTGTCGATTTTCAACTAACAAACTCGTTGCCGATCTATTCACTATAACATATTTGCACCCTTCAAATCCACTTGCCAATTATTCATCTGATCATTTTAGTTTCTAACAGATGTCTGACATGATACATGTGTAGCTTTTGTCAATTTTCGCCTCTGTAGTTGCATTATTATTGGCGGGTTGTATTCGTTTAACCAACCATGGTTACTTATCAGTAACAGAATTCAGTTTTTTGTTATTTTAAACATTTTTGATTAGGCTTTAATATTTTATTGATTTGTTATTATTTGTTTATTATATCAGTTATATAACTACATATGTTGTGTACTTATAGAATACTTTTAAAAAATAGAAGTGATAATTTTATGTCGTTATTAAACAACCTAAATCGATCACTTTCGCAAATACATACAGAAATGAGTGATACAAGTTAAATATCCTGATAGGAGACATAAACGACAAAGTCGGAATGGACAACAACAGATATGAAAATATCAGGCACCACATGGTCTGATTTGAAGAAAGAAACGAAAATGGTGAGATATTTGGGATCTTATGTATATTCGACAAAGTGGTTGTAATTGTTATTAAATTCCACAACTACCTTATACACAACGCTATATGAGACTCACCGGATAACACTACAGAAATCTAGATCAATCATATTCGTATCATCAAATAAGTCACAAGGTCAGTGGAAGACGGGAGAATCAATAGAGTAGTTGACATAACTTCAGATCATCACTAGCTTGTGGTTGCCAAGATGAAATTGAAGCTAAATAAGCACCGTACAACAGATGAAACAACATTACGAAAGTTCAACACAGCCTTCCTTCGAGACACTAACAAACTAAATGAATTCGAGATAGTTCTCAACAACAGGTTCCAAGCCTAATAATATTTAATTTAAGAAGAGGAATCCAGTATGAAAAACCACTGGTAAGTGATCGAATAAGCACTAGGCCGCAAGAAGCATCATCATAAGGAATGGATCTCTATCGAAACCCTGCACAAGATTCAAGTAAGGAAGAACAAAAAGACAGCAATTAACAACAGATGAACAAGAACAGAGAAATTGAAGTCTGAAACTGATCACGCAGAAGCAAATAAGCAACAGTCTACTGTGGGGCAGAACAAACCAAGTTCTAGCTGAAAAGGAAATTAGGAAAAGATGTTGAAAGTGCATAGGACATACATTGAGGAAATCACCAAACTGCATCACGATGCAATCCCTTACTTGAAATCCTGAAGGGAAGCGGAAAAGTGGAAGACCGAAGAACATATTACGTCGGGAAATGAAAGCAAACATGGAATGGATGAATAGCGACTGGAAATAACTGGAAAGTGTCAGTTGGGACAGAGTTGGATGAAGAGTGCTGATGGGCGGCCTATGGTTCTCCACGAGGGCTAACAGCTGTGAGTAAATAAATAATGAACAGGTATGTTTGCTCACATGTGACAGCTTACTCATATACCTCTCTCTAGCTTAAATGTTGTTGCTTAAATTTCTCGATGAATCATTGTTTTCCTCATGTATATATGTATATTCTCTTGAATCTTATCAATTGATTCGACTATTCCTAATTTCACCTCTATTTTTCTTTTGTATTCTCTCGCTTGCTCTAGCGTATTAGCTTTTTTGCTCGAATTCGCTTGGTGTGTTTATAACTAAGTGATCTGTGCTATTCAATGATAAACTGTAGGCGGCGCTTCGTCTTACTTTCTGAATTCATAAACATTTGGGACTTATTCAATAACGCCAATCGTGGCGCTTGATATATGAAGCCTATGAAATCATCTCGAAGCTAATCCACTACAAGAAACTACAATGCTTTACTAGTTAGCATAAGTTTTACTGTTCAAAAAATAGCTTCTACAACAAATTAAAACAAACAATCATTAATTGTTTCATAACCTTCGTTTTAATTTTTGACTTTGATTAATCATTAGCTAAACGACAAAGGAACTCACTATGATTTAAAGAGTTTTGGCGAGACAAATAATCATATAAATCACTTCATTCACTTCAATAATTTTATCATATCAGTTGAGTCATTATAAATACTAGTTTTATTTAATGAATCTATGAAATAAGTTCATTAATGCATTAATTGACATCGGTAATAATAATATTTATTTCTAACATTCAATCCTACTATTATTTGAAGAAATATGAAATTATAATATTATTACCATAATGTTACCTTAGATATAAATCAACTAAATGATAATTTATTATTTCTATTCTGATAACTGAATGTATATTTCAACTTGAGTATTAAAAAAAAAAAAGAAAAACTATGCGGTTTATTGAAAATTTTAACATCATAAATAAAATTGTTGCTAATTACATTTTAAAGAAAAATAATTTCAAATTCCATTTAAATAAAATGATTTTAGATATCGATTTTTCTTTTTATATTTTATTATGCATAATGAAAAATTTACATAATAAAATTATTCACAAATGTATAATTTTACAAATTAATTGTACTATGTATTATCAATCGAAAATGAAATGCCTGATGATAGAAGGTTAAGATGACTGAAGAAAAGAGAACAAGAACAGAGAATGATTGGTGTGGAAACGAAGTATGAGACGAATGATTGATAGTTTGTACATCAAGTATTTACTCAATGGCTATCAGATTTTACTAAGACATTCTCTAAAATTTGTACTTAAATACAATCCCAATTGTGTTCTCGTTTGCTAAATTGTGAATCCTTATTAATGTGTTGTTAAGTTACTAAATATTCATTAAGTTGGTTTATTAGTAATGATTAACATTTTGATAGAGATTGATGAAAATTAAAACATGATAATCTGAAAACAGCTGTCACAGAAATAGATCTTCAATTAATTTTAATCTAGATTCACTCTTGAACCAAAATTCAGACACCATAAAAGTGAGTGATTAGTTTAGAAAAAAGAACACTCATGTACACAGTAACTAGTCAGTATCCAAAACAAGTAAATCCAGAATAAGTTAAGATGAAGAAGTTATGGAATATTATTTCTCTATGGGGCTCAATCAAGTAAAAACTCACTGAAAAAAAAACATTTTTCTATAATTCACTGAAGAATTACAATCTTTACACCAGAATGACATAATCAAGCTATAAAGTTGAAGATAGCGAAGTGATATCTTCAGACTGAATTATATCAAATGTAACAATATTCTATACAGCAAATGTTGACTATGTATCCATTTCCATTCTTAACTTCAGATTAACGGTTAAAGAATGAGAAATAACATTTGATTTCCTATCTATTGAAAGACGGTGACAAATACGTATATATTGATTAGCATAAAACGTAAATGAACTGCATCGAGATGAAATAAATAACATTCATATGAGTATCCTTCTTATATGGGGTTAATTCTTTCACTAATGAGCTATAAAATTAGATAATAAAAAATCTATATCATATAATTTCCACCACAAATTTGAATGGTCTGAATTTCATCTCATGTGGTTTGGGTTTTTTGAACCATTTCAGGCGACCCGAAGTTCAATGATACAACGATTTACTTTTAGTTGTTCTATAAAAGTTTTTCATTCCAATATCTGTGTTGAAAGCCGTTTCCGGATTGCTCATTTTTCACATATTGTATAATTTATATATGCTTTGGAATATTAATTAAATCTTAGGGTTAAAGATATACCCGTTTTTCACTATCCTTTCATAATTTTTTTCTTTATGCAATGAAAATAAACTGTTTTATTGTTAATCAATGAATCATGGAGTTTGGAAATGATTTTATCTATAATGTTACCATGCATTGTTAAAAGCCAAAAGTATTTTGTCTTCACTCAGTGATGTTTTTATACGAATATTTTGTTTATTTTGTCATGTCACCTTCATCATTATCACTGAAACATGAGTGAAGACAACGAGAGTTTAATCAGGGGCATTATATCTGTGATAACTGTATAATTCTAACTAACATATTTAAAAGTTGAAGAAATCCACGCGTTCATGCACATCGCTTGTGCTATGGAATAAATTTTCTTTGGAAATCAGCTGTATTAAAGATAATAGGTAATTGTGGAAGTATAAATCATTCTAATTTCTCTACAAACAAATGTTGGTGAGTCAGGTGTCGCAAATTTCGTCTGCCGAAATTTCTGTAGTGAAACATTTAGGGAGATTTGTCTCGAAAGTGATTAATGACTTTAATGAACTATGCCATTTTTTATAATGTTGAGACTACGAATGAGCGACATGCGGACCTTGAGTGCAGATAAACATATTATTCGCTTACTATGGATCTGTAATGACAATAGTTGTTAGTTGACAACAGAAAATAGGACAAATATAAAGAAAGCTTCTATACCCAATTATACCTAACTGAAAACAATACGCGACTGAATATAAGGGAACAATAAGATCACAAAGCGCAATAACCGAGAAAATACAACATATACCAAAATAGGACACTTAAAGTATGGAATAGAATACGTTCTCGAATTTAAATCATAATTAATTTCAAATGCAAAAAGTTATGACTATAGTTCAGAGATTAAATAAAACCTCATGATTAAAAGAATGAGGCAGTCGCATCAATCAAATGTTAATATTTAGAGATTATAATTTGATTGAACTAATATCCCAAAAAGTGGCTTCCATAATTTGTCATTTCTCCATCTCTATTCCTCTCTTCTCATCACTAAACATGTCAGAAACTAATTTTCTACTTATTTATATCCAGTTTTTACGCAAAACGACTGTAACTACGTAGTTAAAATGACCTACTAAATAGAGTTCATTCAGTTTATTGATAAAACATGTTGTCAATGTCTCAGAGTATGTAACGTGATCACGCATATCACACGTGAATAAATGATTCGCTATTTGATTTGATTTACTATTCAATATTTTCAATTTCATTTTGTATAGCCAATTAAGTTTGTTTGTTTACAAACATTCATTTTCATCAGCTGCTAATCAAAATATAAAGAATACACTGTGAACCATCATAGAATAAATTTGTGAAAAAAACATATTTTCATGTAGTTTGACCAAACACATGAAATAGGAAAGTTTATTCAAGAAATTAATAAATGAATTTATGAAAGCTACCAGAACAATTTCAATAGCTAAATTCTAACTCACGCAACAGTTTACTTGTGGTCATGACTGACTCCAATCATAAGTCACTGAAAATTAGGGTAATTGGTTTACTTGTAATCATGACAGTGACTTTATATCTTGCTGTTGAGTTAAATCTGTTTATCTCTGATCAGTATGTGTTCTACAGGTAAGTATAATCATTATTATGGTTCTAAATGTTATTGTTTTTACAACACATTTATTAAGTGACGTAGATTTTTACATAGTTCATTAGCACGTACTAGAATGTACTTGATATGTCGTTCTATGATCAAGTCTAACAATCAAATCTTATTCGGTTGACGAGTGAGTGACCTACGAATCAACAGCATCTAACCATCTATGACATTCTGTCATGTTATTTTGTGATAATATCTTGTATATAAGCATATCATTTCATCACATAAGAAACCTGTACTTCTGGTTAGTGGTTTCTTCCTTGATTTCAAACCAGTTGGTAGGTTTAAATCAGTAATGCAATCTCATAAACAGTCATAAGTCAGCTACAACTCATATCATTGATGATCATTTACTGGTCATCACTTTCTTTTTCATTTCAACAATCAACAACTTGCTCATCAAATTAGCAATTCATCTCATAGATTTTAAAACGTATGGCCATAGAACACCTATTTTCTTCATGTAATGTTTTGTTAAATGCACTCCAGTTGGAAATATTATAGAAGAACATGAATGACACACATCATTCATGGAATTTGAATCAACTAGAATTTTCAACAATCATTAAAAAGAGTGGTATATTTTATAACAGCTTGATGTTCTTTCACATTTTCAGCGCAGTTACTGAACAAGGTCTTCCCTACTACACAAAGTCGGAAAGACAACGATATAAAAATATGTGAGTTGACATTTTATTAGAAATGCACCATTATGATTGAATAACGTTGACGCAATTCATAACTACTCATTGATTTGAGAAGTTTCAATTCACTAACCTAGCAAGTAATGAGATTGAGTTTTGGAATGATTAGGGATTTATTGAGACTTGTTAACGATTGTATAATGTTGAGATATAATTTAGGTGTAACGAAGCTAGTGAAAGATACAACAATTATCGTGAACATATACAGGAAGTTCGATGCTTTGGATAACCAATCTCCGAATCGTAACTAGTTCAACGCTGTTTGTTAGTTAATACTAAACAAATTACTGTGAAAAACTTTATTGCTAGTGTAAATTTTTGAATATTATAATAAATTGACATCAAATGCTGTATCAGAGTGTCTCCGAGTCACACATGTTAGTTACTAGCAGAATTGTATGTTCCTCATGTATATTTATGTCTCAAGCATCATAATAAAGCTATATTCTGTGTGGTCTGTCAACCCATTTGAATACCGTTTTGCGCAAACTTTATTGCACACTTATTACTGTTTCTATTTTCTATACATAAAAAATACCATTTAGTCAAAGTGTAAAGGCTTGGCCCAGATAGCTGATTCTACCTTACGAACAGGTTGATTTATTCATTCTTCTTCAATCACATTTTGATCTTGTTAATTATTCGCTTATAAACCTCGACTGTTTTTTATCAAAGTGTATTTGTGTATATTTCTTATCTTACTCATCACATGTCGCTAACTTATTTTTGTCTGACTATAAATATTGATTCATGCTTTGTCAAATTGAGTTGGCTTACTCGCCTTCTCCATTACGCGTCATCATGTTTTACTTCGCTTCCCGATCAGCGATTGTACGAAATGTACATATTCAAAAGTCCATTCTCGTATCGGACTTATTTAGTTCCGTTATTCACCAACGATGATTACAAACAAGGATTGGCAACATGTATATTTCAAGAACAGTCATTCATACGATCAACCTGGAGTCAGATATAGGGCCACTAAATAAACATAATAAGGTGTAATCAAAACGCATGTTCTGATAAGCATCATTGGTGTGAAGTATTCAGTCTTTTAGTCTCATCGAAGCATTCAATGCAAATTAATCACTCTTGTTGTACCAAGAGATATCAATGAGTTACATACAACTTATCCTTAGTATTTCTCAATAACGTATCTCTTTATTGTACCCCATTAAAGCACATTCACTAATACTGTAATTCAAAGTGAAAATTTACCAACAATTGTTTGGTAATATTGTAATTCATTCAGCACAACTGTATACTAAATTTAAATGAGCCCTTATGATAAGATTAGAATCTATTGAAAACTATTTCATTTATGTCAATGCGTTTCAATATAGATCGGATGCAGATAAACATAAACTGAAGTTGGCTCAGAAAAAAGCCGCAACTCTAGAAGCGGCTTCAAACTCAGTTCGTATAACAATTGGATTGATTACCACTTTATTAGTGGGTTATTTGTCTGATCGATACGGTCGTCGGGCAGCGTTTGGGATTTTATTAGTCGGTGAGGTCTTGCATGTTGGTGTAACTGGTAAGTAGTATACACCTTTTATAGTACGTTATTATATGCTTTACATCAGAGTATTTAAATAAAAAACCCTACAGAATGTTAGGAATAACGTCTTATTTTGGTTTGGTCTTAAGTAATGTGACAAATCAATCTCAGTTTTGTTTAACATAGTATACGCATACTCAAATTACTAAGGTCTGAAATCACAATTGTTTTGCAGTGATATACACAGTTTGTTTTGAATAATCCTATTGTTAAATGCATTCTGAGTTGTAATAAAGAAAGTTTATTTGTTTTGTACATTAGGTCTATTTGTTAAATTTAAAGAAAACATAAGCATAAATATGTTTATAGAGTAATGTGTTCAATATAACTTTGTTTTATGTTTATGCAATCACAATTCACTCTCCCCTTTCAAACATTCACCTTAAATACATCAAACGAATTCTTCTTCTTTTTTATAATAACAATATTGTTTCTAATTTAAGTCTATTTGTAGCTGATTGGAAATCTTGAAATAAGATTGATATATTTCATTTTACTTTCATCGCGATCAGGTGAACGCAACGGCAATGCTTTGCTTTATCATGAAACGTATAGTGACACTTGGATTTCCATATTACGTAAGTGAGAAACTAATGTTGTGAACGAGAACACAGTTGAGGACAACCAAACGTAATTCTGCTCAGCATAACAGAATATCTTGCAAAATCTAAGAACCATACAGTCGAAGCTTCTTTTGCATAATATGAATCACTTGTCTCAGAATTGATTGTCCCTTCGTTTTCACATCAATTCCTCTCTGTTCTAATTATCTTCTCTTCGATCTTCTTAAACTTGTGCCACCAGGCATTTCACTTCCGGTAAGTGACACATACTACTTATATCTGCCGACATCAGTAGTGCACACCATACTGATACAAAGCTATGACATAAAATCCACTTCAGACTATATATTTGATGTAACATTGTTACAGAGTTTAAAATACACTGTAATTATTCTTATTTCGAATCAATTGTAATGTAAATAACCTAAATCTACATTCAATTAACATGAAGTAATTCAAGTTTTCAATTACCTATTGATTCAGGTCTTATTGTGTTATTGAAGCTGAATATGTGGCTGATTTTACTCTCTGGACTCTTAGAAGCAATTTTCGGTGGTGGTCTTTTATCACTCTTTGCTCAGGTTGCCACTATCCAAGTGGACATTTGTCATCTATCCATGAAAAATTCAACGGAAAAACCAGATGGAAAAAATTCAAAGTCCTCTGATAAACAAATGTGGGTATTATTTACAATTTTTGATGGAATAGCTGCATTATGTGTATCAGCAGGATCACCGATTGGAGGTTAATTAAGAAATAAGTTTTAAAAATTTTATACTGATATTTTAGCAAAATCTTATATACCAATAAATATAAATTAAATTTTGGCAAAACGTTTAAGTATCTTGGCTGTATTACATCATCTGATCTCAATGGTTTCATTACAAAGATTTCAATATCATTTTAGACAAAATTATCAACACGTACTTCATGATACGGGAATGCAATACAGACATTAGCATTTAGCTGAATTATAGATTTTCGCCTTCATTTCAATGAGATACTTTGTGGACACTGACAATATCTCGGACATTATTTCTAGTGTAATCCATCTTCTGTTCTGAACAATAGCTGAACTGACTTCATTTGATTTTATTCCTATACAATAAGGAACTTCCTAGTAAAATCACTTCAAAGTCTTTTCAATTAAATTCACATAAGAAGACGACTCAAGTACTTGACATTCTGTCCACTAGTTCATATAAAAAATTACTAATATTTTAGTGAACAAAACACCAGTGCGGACAATCGAATGTATCTGACACAAAATTGCAGGACTTGTTAATGAAATCTAACAATCATATAGTAATTTACAAAATGTCCATCAGTTGTCTGAAAATGACTCAGACTTCATTTATCTTGCATTTTCATACAAATTGCATTCTGTTTCCATTCTTTACAGTTCGATCCTCTTGTTTTGCTGCTGCCAGACATTCTGTTCCTGACTAACGTCATATACTACTTATGTCGATATAAGTAGCACACACCACAATATTAGCTCTGTAGTTGAAATCATTTGTCATTTAATTGTGCATAAATTCAGTTATTGCACGTTCAGTTTCGTTCGACTGAAATCGATTACCTTTTAAAGTAACAAAATTACATCGAAAACAGTATACAGTTTATGTATATGTAATTATGAGTTTCAAACATAGTTCGCATGAAATAAAGTGCTTTTTTATTCCCCTTATTAGGAGCTTTAATCTATCGCTTCGGATTTCAAGTCGCTATGTTCACATCATTAGGTTTACTTGTTCCAAGTTTAATCTTAATATTTTGCTTACCCGAGACGCATAAAAACAAAAGCAAATCAATTGTTGTACAGGACCAACAGCCTATTGATGAAGTAAACAATGATGATCCAAATGAAGATACTCGTAGTATACCAATGGAATTCGAAAAGACGTTAACAAGTAGAGTTACAGATGGGTTTCAAGTTAGTCAATTAACATTCATTTTTTCGATGAATATTTTTCTTGTCTTTTGTTAGAGTATCATTGCAATTATATTTCTTTGGTGTTTTAAAGATAAAACATATGGCCATTCAGAAATTGTTACGTAATATATTTCTTATATGTTATCAAAGTATCCATATACAATAGCATGTCCACAATTTATTTCATAAGGATCCCACATCCCTTGTGAACTATTTCAGTGTTTTGCTGAATAGTACATAAGATATTTCAATAAAAATGAACTCTCAGCAGTGGTTTTAGATTAGTTCAAGTTGAAAACCGAATACACTATAGTATGCTTGGTGGAGAGTAATCATTTCAGACTCAGCGATAAGCACAAAGAGTTTCGTCTTCATTTCATTTGAATCAACAAAGGATACTCACCATCACAAGCTGAATACAGTAGAAAATGTGACTTATTGAAACCAAAGTCAATGCATTGAAAACATAGCAAACAAACCAAGATTTGCAGACATAGGCTTTCATCTCAAGTGTTGTTGCGTGCATCCACCTCTCTGACGTCACATACTAGAACGATAGAGCATTCCATTTTTCGCTTGCCTTCATTTTATTTATCGGTTGGTGTCAATTTTCCAAGGAAAATTTGTCCAACCAAACTCAATAAAAGCGACAAGTGTTAAATAATTTATTATACGTCACTAATAGGTCCGTGATATATTCGAGGAAGGATCATCTCATGTTTACAAGACAACTGACTGGATAGATGAATCAGTTCACTATCTCACGGTGTAAGCCGTAGAATGATAACAACTGTAACAGAAATCGCAATCATAATAAACATCGTAATTACTTCTTAAAACTATTTTCAAATGTTTCTGTGTCACTCATGTCATGTCGTGCAAAACTGATTACCATGAGTTGCATAATAAATCAGAACTTTCGTGACCCTTCATCTTAATCTGTTTATCAATAAATTACTGAATCGACAAAATTATTTGAAGCATATAAACAGAAACCAGATAAGTTACTATGTACATCATAATCATCCGATAAAGGTCAATAGATTTCAAAAGAAAAGTCATGTCTGTTTGCAACATAAACAACTAGTAACATTTTCATCAGAAATCAATTTATAATAACGTTCTCACTTATCTGCATATGAACATTATGCAGTAAATCAATTACTAATGAGATCCAAAAACGTTTCTACTCATTCTATATCATATATACAATATATACTAAACTCACCTAAATCACTAATCCATACATGATCTCATGCAATTTCCCACATTAATAAAATTGAGTGAGGAAGAAGAAACGAATAACCCTGAATAATCATTAATGTGTAGGTCTTTCTGCAAAACCGATAGTGATTTACGCAACATATCTCATAACTAGTCAACGCTTCGTGTCAAACGTACACAAGAACGATCAGTCTTACCAAGTTCATACGTCGTTTATTTTTCAGCGTCTGAAAAATTTAGATCCTGTCGTGATTATGATTCTGTCAATTGTCCTACTTGGTTCAGTGTCAGCTTTGGCCGACTTACAGTATGTTGCTGTTTATTTAATGGGACCTCCATTCTTGTGGAGTCCAGAAACCGTTGGACTATATTCGTAAGTATTTCACTCCAAATTCAAATCGTAAGATATATTTTGTTTCTGCGATTTTACAACACTTCTCAGTTAAATATGCAAAATATTTAGTCAACTGATTTTCAGCAGTGAACAATAACCTCAATATATTCAGTCATATGGATTGATGCATATGTCTCAAACTTACAAATCAATTTAATTTCACTAAGCATTATAACAAAACTGTTTATACTAAAATAATACACAAATTAGCAACAAGTAGCTAGATAGAAATATTGCATGAGACTTCCATTGTTGTGAGAACAATCTAGGCGTTTTATTCTCTCGTGCACATCAAATTGCACATGGGTTTGACAAGATTAACGTGACTGACGTTGTTGACAGACAACGATAATTTAAATGTAATAAGTGTTTATTTAGCTTCGCCACCTGATTCGAAATCGCTTCAAACTACATAGCGTACGACGAAACACCTGTGTAGCTTAACACAACAGCAGTTGCATAAACAGTATACATCTATTTAAGCTTGAAAGTTCACATTTCAAGGGAGTAATCAATACTGGTTTATGTGGTGTCTGTGAAACGTGGCTCTTACATATATGTGTAGATGTCAAATTCTCACTAATTTGTTATCATTGTACATCACAAAGTTATTGACACTCCTTCTCTTTGGATAATATGTAGTTAAACGTTTGAAATATCATGCGAAATCATTTGTTTCTGTGTTGACCGAATAAATCCATTCCAGAACAAATGTGAGGTGTTTTGTTTGGATTTACTGATTTCAATGTATACTTAATCACATAAAAAAGAAATCATCTGCCTCTCACATGATTAGAATTCATCAAACATTAAAGCAAATTAGATAACCATTATTCTAGTTCCCTGGACTATTCCACACTAAATTTTGTGCACAAATTTCCAGTTAACTGATATGATGTGCTTCAAAGATTCAACAATTCATACTGTTCTGATTCTGATTTTCACACATATTCGTAAACCAACGTAATGTTAATTTCGAACAAATTGTTCGGTGTACGACAAATGATGATAAGCATTTCTGAAATGTTGATCATTTCCTTTCTAATTAATAATAAGTCTATTGAACAACGTTTCAACTCATTAAGATGTGCATGAATATGTTCCCAGCATCCGCTCTTAGTGTGTATATGAGAGCAGGCCGTTCTTTACCTTCCACTAAACGTGATTATGTGTAACCGAATTCCATCCTCTTACTGACTAGTTGAATATCAAACAATTCAATCACTAGACAAGCACTCTTTAGCTTTAGTTTATACTCTGAAATTGTATGATTGATCCTTGTACTAATTTCCAGTTGCACTAAACATCATTCAGTTTCTCACCAATCCATATATCACTGTCATATGATGTGGCTCAATCACACCTCTATCAAATGCACTAATAGATCAGATATTTGTATGTTAGGTTTCCCTGGATTCTTAAACGAAATGATGCTTTCCATTGGATTGAACCACTCATCCAGTGACACAAAAAGAAACATCACACTAAAAGTGTATAGCCCAAGCATCAAACTTGCCTTGAAATAATAATTTCATTTTCACATCTCCATTTTTCCATTTTTTGAATACTCTGTAGTGGCATAACTGATGTGACAGCAGCTTTCATCTCAATTGTCTGTACTATTTTGATCATCAAATTTGACGAAAGGCGAAAAGCCAAAGCTCTCACAGAACAAAATACCACAAACCACAGTAAAGGAAATAATTATACACGTCAAATGCACTTACTTATTACAGTTTTTGCTGTATCAGTTATAATGTTAATTGTGAATCGTTCAGTAGTCGGAGTAGCTTATCGATTTCAACTGCCAACTGCGAATATTTTGATATATATCGGTAAATATTTTATGCTTTGAATTTTATCATGAATAAATACGCCTATCAATCACTCGGACTCAATTAAACACATGACTCAAATGCTGAGAGTTGTTATTGTTTTACCAATGAATTGTATATATTTAAAATCAAGTCATTCATATTAATCCATGTATCTATTATTCTTACATTCCAAACTCAGTCACAAACCAATTCTGTCAATCGCGTTTAAGGCACTTTGAACTGATGTGATATTTAGGGCTTTAAACGTGAGACTTAGTGTGCAATACTTTTCACAAATTTCTTGTACAGGCTGTTCATATGCTTGAAACAAGATAAATACTACGACGAACCTACAACCATCTGATAAACCAACATGAAAGACTTGTACGAGACTTCGCCCATTAATCGTGATAAACCCATAAACTTGTAAAACCTGATAGATGAAGTTATTTAGAGAGTTGGGGAATACTCGAAACCCATGCTTAATCTATTCCTCTCTCTAACAGTTTATCTGTTCATAAGAATGCAGGATAGATAGATAGATATATCCTTCTTCACTATGCATTCGGCTGTTTAATATAAATTTGGTTATTCGAAATATTATTTACCAAGTTAACAGAATCCGTGTTTCGTTCATCACTCGCATTATAAACAATGGAGTTCAATAGTAACTATATCCTCTTTGAATCACACTGGATTTCATGTATGCTTTCATCAACATGCACATACCATTCCAAATAAACCATAACACTACACATCGGTTTCAGATGATTGATAATAGTTGTTAATTGATCAGTGGTTTGTCTAGATAGCTTTAGAAGAAATATGAGAAATTAAATAAGATGTTACATTGAAACAGAACCATACACTATCATTTTTAACCCAAATCATGCCTTCATCTGATTAATGAACGTCACACCAATATAAAAATAGACAAATTAATTAGCTTAACGATTTCCAGATTTAGACTAGATAATATGCACACACAAATTCAGATGAATTGCTCCAAGATGTTTGGATCCTTCTTCTAAATTAAAAATTCATCATATTTGCTAAGGTAGTACTCAGAAATATGTTGACTGTCTTAACAGTTTCTAACATTGGTTGTATTAAAGAACTGAATCGCTGAAAACGCGCGACCATTAAACAACTGTTCCATCTAGAGTTTTAGAGTATTAACCATGTTGTATTCACAAAGACAGTATTGACGAGAAGGACACAATATCACTGATCAACTTGATCCAACTTTAATTATGTTTATTTTCAACGTGGATTGTTCAAGCATCAACTGTTATATGCTCTTCTCCGAACCAATCTGACATTGTATAAGTCACAAATGAGTTACCAATATTTATTTGAGACCTTTAGCAATACAGCTTCAAGAGCACTCTTGTCGTCTCTCTAGTTTGATTAAGAAAGATTTAAGAACTCTCACACAGTAGTCAAATCAAAATTCATGTCATTACAACACTCAAAGCGTTAGTGTTTCATATTTTATACTCAAACAACACAAATCTCTAGATTCTCAATTCCACTGATTCTCTGACACCGATCGGATAACTGTGACTCGAATTGATTATCGATTGGTCTTTTACATGACTCTGTTGTTAACACTATTTCACACTGTCAGTCGAAATAAATATTTATCATTTAATGTGAGTAGACATTAAAAAGTGGAGTTGAATATTTCTGTTAATCGGTGAGATTTATCTTGGTTAAACAACTAGTGAAACCAACAATCACTAGATATCTGCTTCGTTCAGTTATGGGGAACCTCAACCATGTATATGCACATCATTTCTCAATATATATTCAGTGTTCTTCAGGTGACCCCTGAAGTGTTTAATCTCTAGACCGCTGGATTATCATACGATTAATTTAACGACTAACTTCAAGTTTAATGAACATCAGTCTTTCACGTAAACTCTATTACTTAAAATGTATAAACTGTTATTAAAATTCAATATTTTTCAAATCTCAGCTTCCATTCCCAGATTGATGAAAAGCTTTCTTATTCCAATAATTCGAACAATGCTTTCCATTAGTATCCATTCAAGTATACAAGGTAAATAATTTATTCCAATTGTTTTGATTTATTTACATAGTTCGAGTAGAAAGTTACCTATGTAATATGAACCAAATTTGATGATTGATTCCAAACTTAAAATATGAAGACAGAATATGATAGATACTCATGAATAATTGTTTATTATGTACAGAAGTTAGGGAAGATAACTACATGCACAGATATTCTTTCATTTAGCTATTGAATGTAATTTTTTATATGATAAAATACAATCGCTTATTTTACATTTCAGGTATTATGCAGTCGATTGCTGCATTTGTTTCTAGAATCGGTCTTCTCATCAGTTTAACAGCACTTCCTGCAATATATGCTGGAACCGTACTGACATTTCCAGGAACAGTATTCATCATTGTTGTCATAATAATGGCAATAACACTCATTATTGTCTTGTAAGTAGTTTGAAAATAATGTGAAATTCCCTCTATAAAATAAGAATCGGTGTGAGAAACACTCACGCAATTGAAGAGTAAACAATTTTCACCATAATAATATAAATGAATGAGATTATAAAATTTTGTTGTGTAGAACGTACAGGGTATGTTTATCTTTCAATACGAAATAAACCGTTTATTAATGCACATACATTGATTTTGGAAAATCGGTTTTCTTACCATCATTTATAGTTTGAAAATGGAGACAACTAGATTTAAAATTAATAGTTGGATGATACACAATTTATCATTTGAGATCAAGATTATCAACTTGATTTAGTCTGTTTTGATTGATGCCATCTTCGGGAACTGCTATTAGGAAAAAATAACTATCGTATGGTGGCTTATTTTCAGTGGCCGATACAAAATAATTTCTAGATGGGACTATGCATCGGTAAACCGTCTGACATAAATGCTTCCAAAGAATTAAGATGTTAAAAAAGCGTAAGAAGAGAATATGACATGTACTAAAAACTCCGTACAGATTGTGAATTCAAGGCTGATTAAAATACTTCACGTTAATGAACCCAACAACCAGATAAAACAATCATATCTTTCAGTAGTCCTAACAGTTAATAAAATGATGTGAGATTTTTGGCAATGGTTCAACCTTGAAACAGAGCAAGGATAACAATGTTTACAGAATCTGTATTAGTTATTGTAATTTGAGGTTGTGTGCAACTGGTGAGGAACTGTGAAATAGAATGATTTCATTTTATTCTGTAAACCTCGTTGTTTTTGCTATGTTTAAATTGATCAATGGAACTGGCTGTATGAAGTTTCCATCTTTATCGACAAATGCTTAACTGTCACATAAAGGTCTTAATGGAGGTGACTTTGAACTACGTAATTATTAAATAATTTGTGTAAAGTGGTAGTAACATTGACAATCTACTCAAACTTTACAAAGCCACGAGTGGTAGTAGCTAGGCTAGTCTAAAAAGAAAACGTCCAACAATAAACATAAATTAACCTAGCACACAGTTAGACGATGTACACTTTAAGACTAAATAACGTTTACCCATCAAGTCATCTGCCACCACTCATAGACCTAAACCAAACACTACGTTTATCAACCACTTAGCTTACTCCTTACTTGACTGGATCGTGTTCATTAGTAGTTAGAAAAGTATAATCTTTGAAGATGGTTCACATAATGGAGTGAAATTAGAAAGACACACATTGGTAACCAGTGATCAATGAACATTTATACAAGTTTGGAACCATTCAACCGGATGCACCAATCAACTCTCCAGGAACTGGAACCGCTGACTCAATTACTAGTAACAAGTGAGTTACTTTTAGATCCTACAGTTGATGTCCATTAGTTCTCACTTTTAATTTCAGTTAACTAGTGACACTAGCCAACTATCATCCATTTCTGTCGATCATACCAATATCTTTCACTCTCAATAGTCACTGGAACTTCACGAATTCACTTTAAAGTTAGTCACTAATAAAATAATGACCGTTATTTTAACAGGATGTTTGTAAATATCATTATTAACTTATTAACTAAATCTTTAATACAGAAATGAGTATTAATTTTGTTATATTCTTTTATAATTAGATTATTACCACTAGTGATGAAGAAACAAAATTCTAAACTAAAAGATGCTGAATTAAACAATCTTTATAATGGAAAAGAAGGCGAATCAGGAGAAGAGACAAAATCAGATAATATTGCCAATTATTTTGGAGATATGTTTTAGTAATTCCTTATCTTATATGTTAATTATCAATAAAATTTACTAATTCAAAAAGTGTATACTAGAATATTACGTCAAATATTATTTCAAAGAGAATTTCATCATACTGAATCATCTATTGAAAGTGTAACATAATTGTTTCTTTGGTTTTATCTTTCTAGAAGTGACAATACATCTGATGCTGTGAATATGATTGATTACGTAAATATATTTAATAACTTGTCAAATAGTTATAATTTTCGTCACTTTTCTATGTAGACATTATATTGATTCGATCTATCATAAGACACTGAATTGTAGTAATTTCAATAAAATAATAATTACAGGTTTACTCGATAGTAAATAGTTTACTTAAATAAAACTTTCAATGATGTAATTCATCAATAAGATATTCAAAGCTTCTTGTAAATAAGCTTATGAGAACCATAATTCATACTAAAGCCAATGTAATGTATTGTTCTTTTTTTCAAGTAAAAATAGCATTCTTACACCTTGATTTCACTTTGACTATTCAAAGATTGACGTGCTATACAACGCTGTTTTCTTTTCTCATGTTACTTAGTAATTTGTTCCTGTAAAATTATATGTCACTTGAACACATACGTAGTTTGTCATGAGTTAGGATTTCATAACTGCAGATTAAAACTCGCTCATTAGGTTATGTCAGTCAACTGACCCAGTGAAAATGATGCAGCTATTCTGCATTGTATGTAATTAGTGATAATTATTTGGAACGTGATCCTTGGCATTTTTTGTATTCAGTGGAGGCCGTTTGCGCCTATTCTTATGTATTAACATACCAGTTTGTTGGTAATTATTGGAGAATGCCTTGGACAGTTATGAGAATTTCTTTTTCATTAGCGACAGTCAATACAAACACCCTGTAACTTCCTGTAAAATACTTTAAATGTAAATGATAGCTTGTATGAAGAACACGAGATGCTCACTAACGAAACATCCATCTTTCATTACGGTCTAAAAAATAAACCTCCCTATCGACACTCGACTATGATAGTAATTCACCTGTTCATCTATAGGTTTTACGGTTGTGTTTGTCATTGAAAGACGTACTAAGGAAGCGAATCAACTTTTTGCAGGTTCTCTACTCGAATACTACTGGTCAAATCATAGCTCATGATGAATTGTCATCAGGATTGATTATATCAAGTGGTGCTTATCAGGGCTGTCCATAGACATTCTTCTAAGGATAACACTTCCATTACCTAACTTTCCTGAACTTGATGTTATACCAGAATATTCACTGTTGACTTAAAATACGTAGGGGATATAGTCCTGTTTGACGAAGACGCTGAAAGAGTTCGGAGTCTTCTAAACATCCCGAGCAACAATGGACCCATGTCTGGAACGTGCTTCCCTTTGTATATTTAAAGTATATCTTCAGAGCTGGTCTACACCAACGTTAGAATAAATAACAGCGAATGAAGCAATAAGGTGTGTGAACCACATCACATATCTCGGAATCCAGGTCATACTTGATGGGTTGATGTCTGAAGAAATCTTAACATGGGATTATAAGCCTGGACTAACTTTTCCAGTTCACATTACTAGTGGTGTCGGCGAAATGTCTGTCTGGCAACCATAGGGCGGTCCTACTGACCAGAAGTTTATTATTATGGTTGTGAAACATCACCCTTAAAAGTAGAGGACTTTTACTAATACTCGACTCTCAGTACCTTTGAAAGATTACTGATGGGTGTTTAAATCACAGAATCGACAGTATTGAAACTAAGCATAGGGTACTAGGGAAACGATGGCAAATCGGTTAATAAGGCAGTGAATACTCAACAATTGAGGTGGTTAGGATATGTATTGCGTTTGTCTAGCCGTCACACACTTCGAAGGACGATGTTTACTGGTGTAGGATTAGTTAAGATGTCTAATGAAAGCATACAGTTCATTCATGAAGTCGTTAATAGTCTGACTGTATCGTTTTGATAAGTATTGACTATGTGGTTTGGGTCCGTGTGTTTATCTCAACCAATGGTTTCAGATACTGATTGACATGGGTCATAATCTGCCACAACGTAGATATGCCTTAATTATTTGTCTTCTCTTAAATTCCCAGTTTGAAATCTAATTTATATTTTTTTATTCCGAGAGTTCATTCCTTCACTTGAAATCATACTTTTTTATCTCTAGCCTTTTCTACCATCGTTAGACCATAATTGCTTGTACTACTCTGGGATGTGTATTGACAATTCAATCGACAAATATTTTTTCAGGTTATGAATAACAATGTTTGGGCTACTCTATTATTGTAGACATGGATTGTTTGTTTGAATGTGAGAGATTCACATAAATGATCATACAAACTAAAGGTAATGTGAAGCTCAATAATAGAAATAGAAAATGCTTGTAACGTATCTACTGTTCGTTGTGAACTAATCTTTCATCATCAATGATATCCACGAGCAACTTTGATTTGTTCGTGAATATCTCCGGAAACATGATAATCCACAAAGTTTAGCACTGTCAAACTGAGCTTCGTACTGAGAACGATTCCATTACATATGAAGCTGTGTTAGTTTGGGATGGGTACTTGACAGTTGTGACACTTCATACTCCTAGAAACAGCCAGATTAGTGAACCAAATAGACCTTAATTCCAGGAATTAGTAAACCCTGACTGAAAAGCTGTCGTTACGATCATAGGAAAGGTAACAATGAATGGAGATCTTCTGTACTTTGAGACGAAAACTGGGTAGATATTCTTGGACTGGAGGAATATCCAAGTACCTTCAATATGGCAACCTTACAATGAAAACATAATTACAAGTAAAGGACATTGGTAGGATTTAGACATTTATACAGGGATTAAGCCGGTCAACATATTTCTGAGTACTACCTTAGCAAATATGATGAATTTTTAATTTAGAAGAAGGATCCAAACATCTTGGAGCAATTCATCTGAATTTGTGTGTGCATATTATCTAGTCTAAATCTGGAAATCGTTAAGCTAATTAATTTGTCTATTTTTATATTGGTGTGACGTTCATTAATCAGATGAAGGCATGATTTGGGTTAAAAATGATAGTGTATGGTTCTGTTTCAATGTAACATCTTATTTAATTTCTCATATTTCTTCTAAAGCTATCTAGACAAACCACTGATCAATTAACAACTATTATCAATCATCTGAAACCGATGTGTAGTGTTATGGTTTATTTGGAATGGTATGTGCATGTTGATGAAAGCATACATGAAATCCAGTGTGATTCAAAGAGGATATAGTTACTATTGAACTCCATTGTTTATAATGCGAGTGATGAACGAAACACGGATTCTGTTAACTTGGTAAATAATATTTCGAATAACCAAATTTATATTAAACAGCCGAATGCATAGTGAAGAAGGATATATCTATCTATCTATCCTGCATTCTTATGAACAGATAAACTGTTAGAGAGAGGAATAGATTAAGCATGGGTTTCGAGTATTCCCCAACTCTCTAAATAACTTCATCTATCAGGTTTTACAAGTTTATGGGTTTATCACGATTAATGGGCGAAGTCTCGTACAAGTCTTTCATGTTGGTTTATCAGATGGTTGTAGGTTCGTCGTAGTATTTATCTTGTTTCAAGCATATGAACAGCCTGTACAAGAAATTTGTGAAAAGTATTGCACACTAAGTCTCACGTTTAAAGCCCTAAATATCACATCAGTTCAAAGTGCCTTAAACGCGATTGACAGAATTGGTTTGTGACTGAGTTTGGAATGTAAGAATAATAGATACATGGATTAATATGAATGACTTGATTTTAAATATATACAATTCATTGGTAAAACAATAACAACTCTCAGCATTTGAGTCATGTGTTTAATTGAGTCCGAGTGATTGATAGGCGTATTTATTCATGATAAAATTCAAAGCATAAAATATTTACCGATATATATCAAAATATTCGCAGTTGGCAGTTGAAATCGATAAGCTACTCCGACTACTGAACGATTCACAATTAACATTATAACTGATACAGCAAAAACTGTAATAAGTAAGTGCATTTGACGTGTATAATTATTTCCTTTACTGTGGTTTGTGGTATTTTGTTCTGTGAGAGCTTTGGCTTTTCGCCTTTCGTCAAATTTGATGATCAAAATAGTACAGACAATTGAGATGAAAGCTGCTGTCACATCAGTTATGCCACTACAGAGTATTCAAAAAATGGAAAAATGGAGATGTGAAAATGAAATTATTATTTCAAGGCAAGTTTGATGCTTGGGCTATACACTTTTAGTGTGATGTTTCTTTTTGTGTCACTGGATGAGTGGTTCAATCCAATGGAAAGCATCATTTCGTTTAAGAATCCAGGGAAACCTAACATACAAATATCTGATCTATTAGTGCATTTGATAGAGGTGTGATTGAGCCACATCATATGACAGTGATATATGGATTGGTGAGAAACTGAATGATGTTTAGTGCAACTGGAAATTAGTACAAGGATCAATCATACAATTTCAGAGTATAAACTAAAGCTAAAGAGTGCTTGTCTAGTGATTGAATTGTTTGATATTCAACTAGTCAGTAAGAGGATGGAATTCGGTTACACATAATCACGTTTAGTGGAAGGTAAAGAACGGCCTGCTCTCATATACACACTAAGAGCGGATGCTGGGAACATATTCATGCACATCTTAATGAGTTGAAACGTTGTTCAATAGACTTATTATTAATTAGAAAGGAAATGATCAACATTTCAGAAATGCTTATCATCATTTGTCGTACACCGAACAATTTGTTCGAAATTAACATTACGTTGGTTTACGAATATGTGTGAAAATCAGAATCAGAACAGTATGAATTGTTGAATCTTTGAAGCACATCATATCAGTTAACTGGAAATTTGTGCACAAAATTTAGTGTGGAATAGTCCAGGGAACTAGAATAATGGTTATCTAATTTGCTTTAATGTTTGATGAATTCTAATCATGTGAGAGGCAGATGATTTCTTTTTTATGTGATTAAGTATACATTGAAATCAGTAAATCCAAACAAAACACCTCACATTTGTTCTGGAATGGATTTATTCGGTCAACACAGAAACAAATGATTTCGCATGATATTTCAAACGTTTAACTACATATTATCCAAAGAGAAGGAGTGTCAATAACTTTGTGATGTACAATGATAACAAATTAGTGAGAATTTGACATCTACACATATATGTAAGAGCCACGTTTCACAGACACCACATAAACCAGTATTGATTACTCCCTTGAAATGTGAACTTTCAAGCTTAAATAGATGTATACTGTTTATGCAACTGCTGTTGTGTTAAGCTACACAGGTGTTTCGTCGTACGCTATGTAGTTTGAAGCGATTTCGAATCAGGTGGCGAAGCTAAATAAACACTTATTACATTTAAATTATCGTTGTCTGTCAACAACGTCAGTCACGTTAATCTTGTCAAACCCATGTGCAATTTGATGTGCACGAGAGAATAAAACGCCTAGATTGTTCTCACAACAATGGAAGTCTCATGCAATATTTCTATCTAGCTACTTGTTGCTAATTTGTGTATTATTTTAGTATAAACAGTTTTGTTATAATGCTTAGTGAAATTAAATTGATTTGTAAGTTTGAGACATATGCATCAATCCATATGACTGAATATATTGAGGTTATTGTTCACTGCTGAAAATCAGTTGACTAAATATTTTGCATATTTAACTGAGAAGTGTTGTAAAATCGCAGAAACAAAATATATCTTACGATTTGAATTTGGAGTGAAATACTTACGAATATAGTCCAACGGTTTCTGGACTCCACAAGAATGGAGGTCCCATTAAATAAACAGCAACATACTGTAAGTCGGCCAAAGCTGACACTGAACCAAGTAGGACAATTGACAGAATCATAATCACGACAGGATCTAAATTTTTCAGACGCTGAAAAATAAACGACGTATGAACTTGGTAAGACTGATCGTTCTTGTGTACGTTTGACACGAAGCGTTGACTAGTTATGAGATATGTTGCGTAAATCACTATCGGTTTTGCAGAAAGACCTACACATTAATGATTATTCAGGGTTATTCGTTTCTTCTTCCTCACTCAATTTTATTAATGTGGGAAATTGCATGAGATCATGTATGGATTAGTGATTTAGGTGAGTTTAGTATATATTGTATATATGATATAGAATGAGTAGAAACGTTTTTGGATCTCATTAGTAATTGATTTACTGCATAATGTTCATATGCAGATAAGTGAGAACGTTATTATAAATTGATTTCTGATGAAAATGTTACTAGTTGTTTATGTTGCAAACAGACATGACTTTTCTTTTGAAATCTATTGACCTTTATCGGATGATTATGATGTACATAGTAACTTATCTGGTTTCTGTTTATATGCTTCAAATAATTTTGTTGATTCAGTAATTTATTGATAAACAGATTAAGATGAAGGGTCACGAAAGTTCTGATTTATTATGCAACTCATGGTAATCAGTTTTGCACGACATGACATGAGTGACACAGAAACATTTGAAAATAGTTTTAAGAAGTAATTACGATGTTTATTATGATTGCGATTTCTGTTACAGTTGTTATCATTCTACGGCTTACACCGTGAGATAGTGAACTGATTCATCTATCCAGTCAGTTGTCTTGTAAACATGAGATGATCCTTCCTCGAATATATCACGGACCTATTAGTGACGTATAATAAATTATTTAACACTTGTCGCTTTTATTGAGTTTGGTTGGACAAATTTTCCTTGGAAAATTGACACCAACCGATAAATCAAATGAAGGTAAACGAAAAACGGAATGCTCTATCGTTCTAGTATGTGACGTCAGAGAGGTGGATGCACGCAACAACACTTGAGATGAAAGCCTATGTCTGCAAATCTTGGTTTGTTTGCTATGTTTTCAATGCATTGACTTTGGTTTCAATAAGTCACATTTTCTACTGTATTCAGCTTGTGATGGTGAGTATCCTTTGTTGATTCAAATGAAATGAAGACGAAACTCTTTGTGCTTATCGCTGAGTCTGAAATGATTACTCTCCACCAAGCATACTATAGTGTATTCGGTTTTCAACTTGAACTAATCTAAAACCACTGCTGAGAGTTCATTTTTATTGAAATATCTTATGTACTATTCAGCAAAACACTGAAATAGTTCACAAGGGATGTGGGATCCTTATGAAATAAATTGTGGACATGCTATTGTATATGGATACTTTGATAACATATAAGAAATATATTACGTAACAATTTCTGAATGGCCATATGTTTTATCTTTAAAACACCAAAGAAATATAATTGCAATGATACTCTAACAAAAGACAAGAAAAATATTCATCGAAAAAATGAATGTTAATTGACTAACTTGAAACCCATCTGTAACTCTACTTGTTAACGTCTTTTCGAATTCCATTGGTATACTACGAGTATCTTCATTTGGATCATCATTGTTTACTTCATCAATAGGCTGTTGGTCCTGTACAACAATTGATTTGCTTTTGTTTTTATGCGTCTCGGGTAAGCAAAATATTAAGATTAAACTTGGAACAAGTAAACCTAATGATGTGAACATAGCGACTTGAAATCCGAAGCGATAGATTAAAGCTCCTAATAAGGGGAATAAAAAAGCACTTTATTTCATGCGAACTATGTTTGAAACTCATAATTACATATACATAAACTGTATACTGTTTTCGATGTAATTTTGTTACTTTAAAAGGTAATCGATTTCAGTCGAACGAAACTGAACGTGCAATAACTGAATTTATGCACAATTAAATGACAAATGATTTCAACTACAGAGCTAATATTGTGGTGTGTGCTACTTATATCGACATAAGTAGTATATGACGTTAGTCAGGAACAGAATGTCTGGCAGCAGCAAAACAAGAGGATCGAACTGTAAAGAATGGAAACAGAATGCAATTTGTATGAAAATGCAAGATAAATGAAGTCTGAGTCATTTTCAGACAATTGATGGACATTTTGTAAATTACTATATGATTGTTAGATTTCATTAACAAGTCCTGCAATTTTGTGTCAGATACATTCGATTGTCCGCACTGGTGTTTTGTTCACTAAAATATTAGTAATTTTTTATATGAACTAGTGGACAGAATGTCAAGTACTTGAGTCGTCTTCTTATGTGAATTTAATTGAAAAGACTTTGAAGTGATTTTACTAGAAAGTTCCTTATTGTATAGGAATAAAATCAAATGAAGTCAGTTCAGCTATTGTTCAGAACAGAAGATGGATTACACTAGAAATAATGTCCAAGATGTTGTCAGTGTCCACAAAGTATCTCATTGAAATGAAGGCGAAAATCTATAATTCAGCTAAATGCTAATGTCTGTATTGCATTCCCGTATCATGAAGTACGTGTTGATAATTTTGTCTAAAATCTTTGTAATGAAACCATTGAGATCAGATGATGTAATTTAGCTAAGATACTTAAGTGAGATTACCGTCTCACGTTCCGGTCGCCGAGTACGCTCACCCGTACGCTTTTGCGACCAACTGCACAGTCAACAACGGATACGGTGTAGGACTATTCCTACACTTCATGCATGCTACTTTTTTTTTATTTTCCCTTTTTAATTTTTTCCGTATCCTGAGCCCACGCCTCCGACCATCGCCCGTTTGGTAACTTCGACTTCATTCAACCTTGACAAAATCTGGCCTGATCACCCACGCTCTTGTCAACGCACTCGGTCGACAATCTGGTTTCGATTACGCCTGGCATACACTTGGTCGTTATGGTCGCCTCCTGTTTCTTGGCTCAATCTGGTTTCGTCCTACGTCTGCAACGTTCCCTAGTCCGCATCCACACGAACGCAATCTTCAGATCCTGGATACAAACCACTCTGATGTGGGATGCTAACTCGAACAACAAATACAGCACACTTCTCCTGGTACCTGTAGTGGTAAATAATTCCTCAAAATCAAATAGCTCTGTAAGTTTTCGACATTGGATTCTGACATCAGTTTTAGTGGACTCATCTAGCTGAAGGCGCTCGGTCAAGCATCCGCACCAGATCACGTGTGGGAACGCCGTGCTCAACATCTGCCGCAATCGCTAGCCAGATTAGTGCAAACGATCCTCGATATATTGATAGCTTATCAAATATATCTTCGATCTCCTCACTTCTGTCTTTTGATTTTACTTGGTGGGTGCGCTTCGTATTAGAAGGTGTTACTGGTTAAAGCGTTGTCAAACTCCGAATACCTGTGGCATCTTCATACCTTTCTATGCGAAGGACTTTCGTTGGCAACTCGAGGATCAACGATCGCTTCCTGTTTCGCCAATTCTTCCGTCCTACAACCGCACTTTTGCCGATCAGTCCCACGAACCGAATCGCTACCTATCGAAAGTGTAAACTCTTTCTAGCGGAGAGCTCCTGTAGTGACCTACTTTCGTCAACAGAATGCGATTGATTCGATGTAAACAATTATAATTATAACCAATTGTACCAGTGATTGTTTCACTGTGCTCGTTTGTTTAACTGTGTTGATGACAGCCATTGCACTCACTCGCTCCCGTTGACTTTGAACTTATACGAATTCGTTTACGCTTGTACTATTTTGGCACGATCTCGGTATTTTTTCAATACCACGAGATAGCCAACAAATACATGTCGACTACAGCCATCATCTGCCTTCTGATATTGACCTACGGGGATCTTATTGGTTAACTGGCACGTAGTCTTCTTGTAGCGGTGTTCATAGTCAAGCGCGACTCGACACAACGCTACAAACTAATTTTCCTTCGAAAATTGACACCAACCGATAAATAAAATGAAGGTAAGCGAAAAATGGAATGCTCTATCGTTCTAGTATGTGACGTCAGAGAGGTGGATGCACGCAACAACACTTGAGATGAAAGCCTATGTCTGCAAATCTTGGTTTGTTTGCTATGTTTTCAATGCATTGACTTTGGTTTCAATAAGTCACATTTTCTACTGTATTCAGCTTGTGATGGTGAGTATCCTTTGTTGATTCAAATGAAATGAAGACGAAACTCTTTGTGCTTATCGCTGAGTCTGAAATGATTACTCTCCACCAAGCATACTATAGTGTATTCGGTTTTCAACTTGAACTAATCTAGAACCATTGCTGAGAGTTTTTTCTGGTTTGAATGAAGTGAAAGTATTCAAGCTTTTACTGAAATGAAATATCCCATACAAAATATTTTTACAATAATTATAGACATAGGTGATTCTTTAGTTTTATGTTGTTGTGTCTCTACACTGTTGTATTTATGTTTAAATAGAAAACTTTTTCATCAGTTATTGACATGTTAGAGCTTATAAGAGTAATTATGAATACTTAACAGAGCAATTTACAAATAATATGGATAAGGTGATAATTCTTGAAAGACTGTCTAATAAGCAAATAAACTAAATCATAAGATTATACAGTTGGTGTTAAATGAGAAGTCTTACGTAAATTACAGTTACACAGTAACGAATGTAACGAAGTACTCGTACGACTGATAGTGGTATTTGTAAAATACATTTTTGGAAGTTCAATATTATTAATTCTATTTGTAATAATAGAAATAAATTAGCATGAAAAAAGACTACTAAAATTATATACAACTGTTGATAGAAACATACTAGGCCGTTAGACGTGCGTAGCTGCTTGACTGTGGTTGGTTCTGAGTAATCCATAATCACCGCCATTTCGCTTTTTAAAGGTCGGATGCCATGAGCATCAATTGTATGTCGGAGAAAATCTAAAGGGTTGGTGCCGATTTGATATTTTTGAATATTTACAGTGATACCGTGTCTTCGCAGTCGTTCAAAGACACTGTCCAGATGCTGGGAATGAGATTCCCTGCCCTGACTTGTAACCAAACAACCATCAACATGTACATGTACAAAGTCGAGACCGTCATAATGTAGTGGCATCGGATCATAACCACACAATCCTCAAAGCTGAACACGAGACTACTCGGAAAATAGATATTCAATATTTAACGCGGAGGAATACCCAACAATGGAGAAGGCGGGAATAACAAATTGAATTAGTCCGAGTTGATCGGGTGGCATGGCTCGGCCTTGCAGGCGTGGTCCCAGCTGAATGTTATCTTGTATCCTCTATTCATATTAAATATATTCTGTCTCTAGCCTAAGCTTGTTCTCTATTACGTATTGGTAATTGTTACAATGCAATGAATCGGTGTAGACGATGATGTAACTTCCACGTAAGATCTTATAGATTAGGCAGTTACATCATGATAAATCTACAATTTTAGGATTAAGTCTATTATTAGAGCAGTGCTAATATCATAGTAGACCGTAATTCTACAATACCTCAATCACTGGAAATTTTGAGCAGTATTTCTTAAACCGAAAGGTTTGCGCTCAAATTCGTGGAGCTTGAGAGCGGTGATGATGCGGTTTTAAGAACGTCGTCAGCAGTCGAGGGAATTTGGTTATATGCTTTAATCAAATCAGAAGCGAAAACGTTCAAAGATATATTCATTACGCTATCGATATATCAAGAAATGACTAATTTAAGCTGGCTAACGATTGTAGGGGATGCGAAGCACGGCTTACACACTCGTGATCTGGTGCAAATGCGTGAGTGCCACCAGATAGGTGAGTTCATATAAATAATTGTAGTCAGCATCAAATGTGGAAGACTTACCAAACTATTGATATTAGGGATTTATTTACTGTTACAGGTGATTTGCTATCATTCATTCAAGAATGATTTAAGCCAGCCAAGTTAAGGGTTGAATTCTTAAAACCTTTTAAAGCCTCAGATATACTTTGAAAACTGAAACAGTCATTTGCACACCTAAAGGGTGTAAGTTTGGTATTTTCGAGTTTAGTAGGTTGCTCTTTATTAATATTTGTGAAAGAATGTTTGAATATTCCGGATATAGATTGTCATCTTGGGTAAGAAATGTAGCAGTTTTTGGTCTTCATATGCTCTTAATCAAAAGAGATGTGGGGTTGTTTGTTTCAGTGCTACTTCTAAGTGTCAAGCTATTATTTAGTCATTACGATGACGTAATATATCGAGTGCAAGAATAAAAAGTCTTCAAAAGTGTAGAGTTCTAGAGAAACTTTGATAAAGTTGGAATGTTCATCCTAAGAGCTTTATACTAGATAGACCACCAACGTAGATGATCTATGTCGAATGATCGGAAGTCTACTCGAGTTAGACGGGAATAGTGTGACGAAACAGCTAGCGTCGAAGTCACACCCAGTTGCCAGCACCATACGTGAACTACCCTATTGACGAATCAAGGTACTATAGATGCTTTGAAGACGTTAAAACACAGAGGACGTTATTAAAGAGATATATTAGTTGAAGTACATACAAGCAAAAGCAAGACCACTGCCTCATGGGCGAGTCCATGGTGTACGATTAACTGATGAGCGTTGGTTGTCCTTGACATCGACGAGTATCGATGGTTTGTTCAATAATCAATGACCCAACTGCCGGATGATTTGGCTAGGGCTCAGTGGAATTTCACTGGCCCTACAACTAACTGAAAGGAACCCCATCTAGGTCTCCTGCTTACAGAAGTCTGAAGATGAGCTGTTGTTGTTGACACCTGAACTTCTTATAACAACAATCTAATTCAGTACAAAAATAAATGAATCTCTCAGGATATGTTCAGAGGCAAACAAGACCAGAACTTTTTCATATCTTATCATGATTTTCTGGGTGAGTTGGGTCTGATGTACTTTGTTTAATTAATATCTATTACCGTAAGTATTCCATCACCTATCTTAACCAGCCTGTAGTTACCGATTTCAATCTTGTCACCACCGTTTGGTCGTCAAGCTAACACTTTGTTAATTCATAATGCTTGGGCAATCAGTTTGTTTAGTTATCATTGCTACAGCCTTTTCACAGTTTCTTGACATTGCAATGCATTACAACCAGGCAACTATTTTGCATGGTATTATGGCAGCATCTATTCCAACAATTTCAATGGTCTACGGTTCAAATAAATTCATTTTCACTTAAGTCACAATGACTGAATTAATTTGAAAGTTCTACGCTATGGTGAAAAGACTATCAACACTTGAATAAATTGTTACATTCAGAGGAGTTGGTGAAGAAATTATCTTGTTTGCACCTACTTATTTCGAAGATATTGGTTATTGAACGAAAGGTTATGACATGACCTTAAGTCATAAGTAAGCTTTTCGAAACCTTAAACATTGTGTTGTTTATCAGATTGTCTTTGTTGCACTCTTGTGCTATTGCTGAGTGTTTGGAGTTTTATTTCTTGATGAATGCAAGCATTTTCTGTGCACACTAAAGTTTCGGTTTATATTTTATCCTTTTTTCTTTAGATAGAATAGAAACTTAAGTAATAATTATTACACTTCTTTACGTCATAGTGGATTCTACCTAAGCGTCCAAAGTACTTACACGATAAATGCAAACTAGTACACTGACTTCGTCAAACGACGAAAAGAGCTTTAGTTTTGCCTATCGAGTGTTAAGTGTCAGGTGCTAAAACCAGTTATCGTTAATCTGATTGGTTCGACCATAAATTATAGTCCCGCCGTAATCTCTCTTTATGATTCGTGGTACTAAAGTTACAAAACAAAGGGGAGAGAAGAACCTTATATAATTGCTCAAAGATCTGAAAATTTGAACAGTAGAATGCAGGTTTCTAGCCGATTGATATTGGAGAGATAGTAGAACTATTCGTGTAAAAGGTTTTCGGATTCGCTAGTGTATTGACATATTGCACAGATTCAACGTCCTGAAAAGTTCAGTTATTTTCTCGACAACGAGTGGAGTGCATCCAGAGACACTTAGTAAATTTAAGCAGCATAAAGAGCACATTGAAAATAGCAATTCACTATATAGTGATTCCCATTTAAAACGTAGGTGAGAAAGTAACACTACTTTTCTGGATTTTTTCGAGGATGAGAAACGTTTATTTGAGCCCGCTGTGTATCCTTGTATGACGCTTAGCTTAACCTTGATCTTGATGGTTTCAGACAAATATTTTACTAAATACCAATCCAATTTCATTCACAGTTTCATGCGTTTTACTGGGTCGAATGATTTATTTATTGAAACTACCTACTAAATGGTGTTGTGGATTTTTTTTTAGAAATTCCGTAGGCACTATCACTATCTCCTCAGTTTCAAACGTAAAATAAGATCGGGAGTAATTATTACATTGTACTGTATAGTCTATCTCCTAGTTAATAAGTATGTTATTTCTGGTTATTTTCAATAAACGTTTCTCATCCTCGAAAAAATCCAGAAAAGTAGTGTTACTTTCTCACCTACGTTTTAAATGGGAATCACTATATAGTGAATTGCTATTTTCAATGTGCTCTTTATGCTGCTTAGATTTACTAAGTGTCTCTGGATGCACTCCACTCGTTGTCGAGAAAATAACTGAACTTTTCAGGACGTTGAATCTGTGCAATATGTCAATACACTAGCGAATCCGAAAACCTTTTACACGAATAGTTCTACTATCTCTCCAATATCAATCGGCTAGAAACCTGCATTCTACTGTTCAAATTTTCAGATCTTTGAGCAATTATATAAGGTTCTTCTCTCCCCTTTGTTTTGTAACTTTAGTACCACGAATCGTAAAGAGAGATTATTCTAACTGAAGGACATTGAAACTTTATATAGTTGATCGGATTGTCACTCCACATTCGAATATGCCCCTTTTTTTGGTGTCAGATTTTACGCGCACTAGATTATCAAGCAGTTAAAAACCATCCCAGTCCCATTATATTTCATGTTCCATTCATACTTATTTTATATTTTCATTGAACTGTAAAGAAATTTTGTTTTCACACAGTTATTGCTCGCAGTGTACGCACCTAAAATGCGTTTTTGGGACCAAATAATTTATGCTATGATAAGTCGTTGGACGAATAAAAAATACGTCTGTAGAATCGAGTATCTTTTGTCGGGTTAGTAATGTGGACGAGGGTAAAATATGCCTTTAGTCAAGGGAAAACAGGGTCGTCAAACGACTCTTGCTCTCGACATGAAGCCTAGTAAACGAGGATAACAAGGCTATACAAGTGGGTGGAATTTTGCATTTCACCTTTTCTGTCTCATTAAAACGTTCCTTATTTCCGTTCGTGTTGGCTTGTGTTGTCTTAAAATTGATTATTTTAATTGTCATCAAATATGAGGCTTTAAGAGGAATGTGCACACAAAAGGGATTGTTCTTCGATACATTGTCGAATTTGCTCATTATTCCAGACGCATACATTTCCACAATTTTTATGCAAACTAATTGTCCAGAGAACCGCGAAATCAAAGGCAAAATTGATGGTAATGAGTAACTCAATACTGACTACCATATATTCTTAAAATGAGATGTATATTGATTCGAAGTCAGTAGAAATTTCTTCAAAAAACGTACAGCTCTTCTCTCTTTTAGATCCATTGCAAATAGCTGAAGATGCGCATTTCTAAGGAAACAAAAGTCGTCCTAAATCTTGACGTTCTGGCATTATCTGTATACATTTCTGTATGTATGTCATTCTTCATAAGTGACCAGTTTATTTACTACAGGTAAGACAGTACAATTAGCGTATTCTTTACCTTTAACAACTTACTTATATCCCGTCTTGATACATAAGTTTTCGTGTATATTTATCCTTGGAATTTTATTGACCAGTTATCATCGTTTGTATTCTTATTAATTCCATTTCGTGTTTTGCTCAACAAGCTAACGACAAGAAGCGCAATCAAATGTCCACGTACTCATTTCATAATTATTGGATGATTTTCGGAGTCTCCGGGCCCTGTGTATTGATCTTGGGGAAACGAAAATTCGCCCATAGTTTAATCTTCGGACACAACATAAACTATTAAAATCGATAAATGATGTGGATCAGCTGATATGAGCTTAATGCTATACTCTTAATTTGGAATGGGCTCGTAGCAGTATATGAGGCCTTTTATTGTACTGATCGATGAATTGGGCTGTATTTGTAACTGTTTGCAAGTACGATTCCGAGTGCTTTTTTCGTTCTGTGGTTCCGAATTTTTCTGAGATGAGTTTACAAAATACATTCTGTCACCACCGATGCAGCCTGAAAAATAGGGTTACAGTTTGTCAATTTCGTTCTTAGTTTCTATCATATGCACTACACATTTTTGAAATCCTAAGAATCATATAAATCTTTCTCATTTGTACGGATGCAATTCATTTCACTTTATTAGCACCTATAAACTGAATTTGAACTGATTCATAAATCATGCTAATTTTTTATTAAATATAAAAGCATTTCATGTAATCTACATCGCACCAAATAGTAACGAATTTTTTTGTAAATGGTCAGATTTCAGTGTAAAACGCATCCAGTAATTATCATGGTGATGATTAGACATTATCATGCTCTTATTTATTTGAAAATTGGTATTACCTTTTAGGCCTTATATATTTTATTTGAATTTCCGAAGTCGTTTGATGACAAGATACATTTTTAAATAATCGGTGACATAAAGTAAAATAAAGAAATAACTTAGGCCTTCGTCCTATATAAAAAATAAATTCACGTAGCGAATCTTCATGTTTTATTGATTTTCTAAGGTGCATCGAGTGCTGATGGCCTTACTTTCTGTGTTACTGGCATCAGACACACAAAACAGTAAACAACGTTGTGATCAATGAACAAAAATAATGTTATATCGTTAGTAGTAAGACCTTGGTACTAGAGACTGACTTTTAACATTCATCCTGCCTGGATCACCTCAATATAGTCATTTTGTCACAAGTAATGTAGAGTAAATGACTTGCTGCTAGCAGTAAAACCCAGGACGCGTGTTTCGCCCTATCTGGGACTCGTCAGTTTGGTCTACTTTTACACCCGTGTTTATAGTTACACGAGGACTTTAATTCATTGCTTTTCATTTTGAATATCTAGCTTGTTATTCACTGAGCTACTGACTCCAGATGACTATTAAATTGTTTAACAGGTATTATGTTTAGATCAATAGTAGTAAGGGTTTGAATTATAAGCGTTTTGATACTAAGGAAGACACTATTTAAAATATTATGACCGTGGTATGCATATATAAGCCCACTTTATAGACTTGTTAGTAATGAAAAGTTTGAATTAACGTCGTTTTGTCAGTAAAATTGATAGTTATACAGAAAAGTGTTATTAGTCAAATTTTAAAATTAGGTACATTCATCTATTATCACTGTGCTCAGTCTGTTTAGTCTGAAACTTTCTTGCACTGGAATATTTTAATAGAAACACTTTACTTTATTTATTTATTTATTTTAACACATAAGTATAGGTACAGGGAGGCACCAAATACATATGCGCCACACATATCTCATTTGATATGTGTGAGGGCTGTGATACTGTCCGGGTGCCCAAACCGAAGCAGGTGGTTTTCTTAGGGGGCCACACCCCGAGCCTTTGACCTGAAGATCTGATCCACAAGGCAGTGGAGCATCGTGAGGAGATGCAGTCCCATGGTAGCCGGTGACCAACGATTGGTTCATACGCCATTTGTTCCTTCAGGATACTGGAGCCCATGTGCACCATTGATTTGGGGTCCGGTTAAAGCGCCGAACATTCGCTTTTCGTCCTCTCATTTTTGTAAACAACACCCCCGCCACGAGAAGGCAGTGAGTAGGACTTCCCTGGCAGAGGCTATATACGTATGGCCATGTGAGAGCATTTCGAGAGGGAGAGCGGACTCTCCCCACTCTCGGCCGTACCAGGGGATTTGGGGGCACTTTACTTTATAAACATAAAATGAAGTTTTATTTAATAATGAATGAAAGGAATTCGGCAGAGATTTTCCTTTAAAATTATATTGCTCTAGTCTTTAAGAACTAGTTCATGCTATCCTTATAAACTGACTGGATTATACATCTTGTAAATATGATCTAAATACTGTTGAACGTTCATAGTTATCTGTAAATCTATTTAAATTTATACATTTGCATTATTTTATAGTTTTTTAATTTTCGTATGATTTAATATGTCTTCAGAAAAACATAAGTGAACACTATTGTCTACAATTAAATGTTCATTAGGCCTTGATATACGATAATATTTATATGGATATATGAGAATATTAAACCAATCAAGGCAGTTTATGTGTCAGTGATAATAGTGTAATAGGTTACATAAATAAACAGTTGGTAGAAAGTACTGATTTATAGTCTGATGGCAGGTAACTAGTTGTGATGAGATTTATTTCAGTTAGTGTTTGTCATCAATTTTTAATTAATATTCTAAATAGAAGACTTGATGTACACTAAATCGAACATGAGAACTAAAATACTTCAGTTTTGATTCAGTCACATATCATTTGGATCATGTATTAAAGCATATTATTTCACTAGATCCATAGTCATCAACGCGACTAGGTTTAACTGCTGTTTCTATTAGAAAAACGATGATAAATTTTAACTAGTATTGTAAACTAGATGAAATGTGGCTAGCAGTGGGGTCCGGGACACTTGTTACGTTCTATTTAGGATTCGTCAGCTGAAGATACTTGAATCTCAAAGTTGATGCTTACTCTGGAGCTCTAACCTAGTACCGCTCGCTTCAAAAGCCAACGCGTCATCCAAACCATTAAAAATTGAGTTAATATTATCAACATTGAGATATACTTTATGCAGATTTTAAGCTGTTTGTTTTATCCCATTGTTTATTTTTTTACAGTTGTCTGTCTGAACATGGAATTGATTATTGGTTGGTAAATAAAAGTGACTCGTGAGTCTGAACATTAATAATAAAATATACACAGTGGGGTATTTTAAGAGCATTTCTTAGGGGTTCACGTGATTAATCTTGACATCCTCTCATTATATCGCAAATTGACTGATGTTAGGAGATGAAAACTAATGAGATTTAATTAACCTCTGGATAATAATGTAAATTCCACGATAGCTTTGAAAATGGCTTAACGAAAGCGCTTTTAAGTCATTCTAAATAAAGATTAGGTAGTTGATTTGTGGTCTCTGTTTATTAAAGCCACTTCAGTCTATACAATCTTATGATGAACATTCCCACTCTGATTGTAGCTCTTGCATCTAACAAGTGTTTAGTCACCCTGGACAATTATCTTTTTTCTCAAAACATGAGGTATAGGTAACAAATATTTTCATGTTCAAAAATCTCCTTATCAGCGTAACATCATACTGTTCTTATCTACCAGTAATATGGTTGACATATCTTCATAGTGATAAATTATTGTTCTTCTTAACCGTATAGTACTGCTCAGAGACTCATTAGTTTCTAAATTCTCAAGGTTACTGTCGAAGTCTCTCTTTTTGGCCAACAGAAGTAAAATATGTGGAAAACATGTATCGTGATGGTTGTATCGGGATAATATGCACAAGATATACAGATCCCCAAACACTGGTCATATTTCAATTAAAATATCAACAACGGAATGATACGAACCGTTACACCCAAGGACGCTTTTGTAAACGTGCACTATCGAAGTATGGCGTTAAATTCATTTTTATTCTGATCATAAGAATAGATAGGCTTTTTTCATTAATGCATTTAGTTTGCTTCATGTTTTGAATTCCAATGTCAGCAATTCTGTACTTGTCGCAAAACTCATGAAAATCTACTTCATACATTTAGCTACTCATTTCGTCATATACTTTTTAAAACTCATAAGTCAACAGACTTAAATATCATCAGCATAGAGACTGGTGCAGATGTGGATTGGCCAAGCCACCATGCTAGAAAAATAGATCAAAATAATATAGTAGCGATGGTAAAAAGAAAGTGTGAACCTTTGGAATATGGTTTTAAAAGACAATAGAAAGGTATGCATAAAGAGATATTGGAATTTAAGATCAAAAGAAAGACAAAAAGTGAATGCATCTACATGATTGTGAGTGATTCTGAACCTTGTCATCCAAAGTCTTCATCTGTTGATCGCAATTAACACTCAGACCTTAATGAGGTAGTCTGCATCTATCAACGTGGATCATACAAATACTGCATAATTATGTGAACTGATGCCACGATTGTTTTTTCTGGCTTTAGCTCGTCTCATCGTGGTAGATGATAGTTAGACATATGTTTCATCTTCAGTTGATGGGAATTCACTGTTTCATCAACCTTTAGCAAGTAAGCTCTGCCCAACCTCAACATTTCTCACTCGGTCATTCCAAAAACGCGAGCAATGCTTTAAAAATACCTATGATCAGGAACCTTCCTTCTGTGCATGTTTTCTGTCTTTATAGATCATGTTTCACAGCCGTAAAGTTGAATCGAGCGGACTGATGAACAGTATATACGCTCTTCCGTTGTGAGATGATTATCTCACGTACTCCACAAATGACTTGAGTTGACAAATGACAACTGAGCCTTATGAATTCATTCCCGAATTCCCTCAGACCACCAATCATCAGGGCCGATGATTCTTTAACGTTAAGTGACCGATGCGCTCAACTAATACACTTCCTACTACTGGTTCATTTGTTGATGCAGACCAGTCCTGAAGCAACATTTTACATTATCCAAAGTACCATACGAAGATAAAGTAAAAGCTTTTCTAGGTATCAATGCTAAGGTTGAACTTAATAGTTTCGAATAAATTGAGCGTTGGGTAGAAAGCTATTAATAAATATATATTTTTGTTATATCCCAATGAGTAGGCTAATTGTATTTCTGACGTTCTGTGGCTTAATGTACTGTTTAATTTTTTGGTAATTTCATTTCGGTTATTTGTTTACTCTGAAGAAGTGGCTTACATTAAGTCACGAAACGCCAGAAATAAAATTTGTCTATTCATTGGGATATAACAAGAAATACATATTTATTATTAAAAGCTTTTACGGAATTTTCTAGGAATCTTCCGGAGAAATACTTTTATTTTTATGTTTGACACAAAATTAATGGTACGATTTTAGCTTATTTGGATTTTTTAGTACGGATGGACTGCAAGCTGCACAAAAGAAAGCTGCTTTTATACAGTCTGTTAAAAATTTCCTGGGTATTGGGACTGGAATTCTCTCAACACTAATCACTGGTTACCTATCAGATAATTATGGTCGGCAATTGACGCTGGGAATTATAATATTAGGAGAAGCTTTACGAATTTCAGCTCTTTGTAGGTTATACAATAAATCTCCTAAATTGTTTCCCTTTATTTTGTTATAGATTGGATCGTGCATGAATTTCAGTGACGCTACAGTATGTAGACATTCAAAACATACTATGATTAGCTTTTAGTGAACTTATGTTTAAATCAGTCAAAGCAGACTTTCTATTGGTAAAACTATCTTACACTTATCAGTAGTATATTGTGAACTAGGTGGACTAAACCACTTCAAAGTCAATTAGTTATCCTTTTCATGTATTTACGTCCACACACGATTTGTAAGTTAGGGTGTCTGAAAATATATCAAAATAGCTATAGAAACAAATTAATTCAACCGACCCATTCAGAGCAGATTGATCTTAACTCAGCCTTTGTGCTTTCGTATAAAAATCATCTGGGTTGACTACTTAGGTTTGCTGATGACCTAACCGTATGGGATTTCAAACCCCTCTTGCGTGTTCAAAAACAATGTGCATTTACATCGAAACTGCGCTGGTAACATTGATTTATTATTCAATAGTGTGATTCACATTGGTTTCCTTATTATCTTTGTTTTTCTTCTATCTTTTGATTCACCTAGTTAGTGTTTATTCGTCGTACATAAATGCTTTAGCGTGTATATATATGATTAGATCTTTCTAAGTGTATTGCTCATATATATCACATATTTCTGATAAGCATCACCTTTTGATTGTATAAGTAAATTAAAATTAATTTACCACTTTACTACCATCATTGAAAATTGATAACTTAGGTGTGCAATACTTTGATATTCAAAGCGCCAAGGTTTCCTACAATACTAATTGTTTGAAAATTCTTTGAATGTATTATTGAGGAAAATCTGGAATCTTTTTGGACTGAATGTCATGCAACAGTTTGATTAAAATTTCAAAGGATTGGAATAACTGACTAATCTCTAAAAAAAAACATTTTTCCCAGCACTTAACAAGAATCTTTAACATCTTTATAATAAAGGTGAATAATCTTAATACCAATTATCGTAACAAATCATACGAAGTTAACTTATTATCGTCACCTAGTTCAAATTAATTCAAAGTACGGATTGGAGAACTTTCCAAATATACCATGTGTGTTTAATAATGTATACAATTGTTGGGGCCTGTATATGTTTACCAGTACCTTAGAGATATAGTTATTTAATTGCTTTATGAACGAAAATCTTTTTATTAGTAATGAAATAAAAGGACTAATAGTTTATTGTGATTAGGCGGAAAGAAAAATTTACAATCGTGCACAAGCAATTACAACACAATAAGTCACACAAGCTAACAGTCAAAGTCTGGACATTTCTAATAAGCCGTTGAAGCCTAAAGAAGAGGATGAGCCATCCAGAATGCATCACTGATGGCACTAGTGTTAAAGGATCATCATTTTTGTCTAACTTACAGACTACCATATTTTGACCTTATGTTTAACGTACATTTGACACTTAACAACCAGTTTCTTTATAACCATTCAATACTTAGTGGAAATTGTTCAATACCTTCCGTTTATTATTATTATTATTAATGGCTTTATTCAACATTATATGCTTGATAGAATATAGAATTCTCAGCAAGAGGTATTTTAACAGGTTCCTTTTACAAAAAGAGGTGATAACTGGATACACATAAACGTAAATTAAGTAGACAAACTACCTGGAATTAGATGAAATGCTTTTTATTAAGATTGAAATCTACACAACTCTTTAATTATAAACATGTTTAAAAATACAAGTTATTGATCAGGTGAACTCTAACAACTTGTTTACCATAGTATATTTGCTAGATAAGGTATTGTAGTGTTTTTATGTCTTTGCTTGAGTGCGTCGATTGTAATGCATTTTTGCACCTTGTTTTACCAGAAAATATACAAGGAGAAAGATATGAATGAAGTGGATGGTTACTATCTGATAACACTTCTCAAGGGCTTGCAAGGTTTTATTTATCTATCCGCAACTATATTAATAATGACTAAAAACGATTCACCACAAACTTTGCTAATCGCCTTCAGTACTCTCCGCAATACAGTAAAATCTTTTCTCAAAAACCTGGGAAAGTATAATCAGAAGCAGTAAAAATAAAATAATATTATGCAGGTACCAAGAAATCGTAAAAGTAAATGCAACATCTTTACACAGTGAGTCAGATGGAAAACTTTCTTCGATAACACTAAAACATAAGAAGAACAAGAAAGACCAGAGGAAAACTCACACTAATATAAATAACCACTGACACGGTTTTCACTACAGAATCTCCAATAGTAAAAGCTTTATAGGATTCCAGCTGAGTGTTTGAGTGCTGTTCGTCCTACAGAATAAAGTTAACAATTTGACATTTAGAAGGATTAAGTGTGCAACCACTAACAACAGGTCATCGTTCAACAAGAGAAAATAACTCATTCATTTCAAGTGGATGTGGAGAGGCAGAAATCGACTTACATACAGTGAGATCGACCGCATATTTAACAAAAGTGTTTCCTGTGGGAAATAGCAGATCACGCAGAAAAACAGGGGAAGGAAGAGGGTAAAGAAATGCTTTTCGTGGCACATTTTCATGAATTAGTAGAGATGTTGAACACTTTTCTCCAAACACAGTGTACTGTTCTCTTCCAGAGAGATTGGATCACAGCCAGTCGGTTATCCAGCTTTTAGTGTTGATCTTGACAAACTTGTTAAGCAGTAGTTGTTATAGCATAGAGTCGAAGGCAGGAGTATAGTCTAGAAATGCGCACCGAACATATTTCTTACCCTTTTCCAATTTGAACACTATTGTATTGATGAACAACAACAGCATCTGTGTTAATTTTTTTGCGATCAGCATTCTCACTCATCCTCATATGAAGAAATCTAACAATATAAGTTATACGTAATTATATTTGACCGGCTCCGTTTATTATTTATTTTTCTATACCTGTTAAAGGTATTGTCGTATTTTTCAGTTTTTCTCCCTGGGGTTTGATTGTATCTGAATTGTTAGGAGGATCTATTGGTGGTGGATTGTTATCAATTTCAGCACAATTATTTGCTTGTATAGCTGATCTAACCCAAAAATCATATGATGAAATATTAGTAATGTCCAATGAAAATATGAATTCAGTAACTCAGACAAAAAGATTAGTAAAAAAACGTTGGCTTTTATTTACTTTACTCGATGGTGTAATCACTTGTGGTATGGCATTTGCAAATGCACTAACAGGTAACAATTTAACGTATGTTAAATCAATATTTATTTTTGCAAAGTATTTTGTTTCAAGCGATAGTTTCATAATTGATTAGAAATACAGTTTTTTTTCATGAAAATGTTTAATTATTACATAATGTTTATATTATATAATTTTTACTAGGTAATTCACGGTAGTTTTACTTAATATGGACTAGTGTATAAGGTGTTCATTTTTTAATTAGTAATCACATAGAAAGCATAGGCATTTGTGTCGTTTTCTACGTTGTCTATGACTAATTTACTCGATTATGTTAAACATGGTATATACACTGGATTTTATTGCTCTTTAGATTTTATCACAGTAGTTTATGATTAAGATTTGACAAATAAAATTGCATAATTCAACAAAACAGTGTTGTTACTTCCAAGCTATTTAAGTTGTAACTTTATTATAGGACAGAATAACTCAAGCCCATCGGTAGCTCCATAGCAAATAAATATTTTCTGTAGTCGTAAATATTTAAATTAAACAGCTTCTACTAAACACTGTAGACTAGGTAGAATTATTAACAAAATAATTTTTAATCGTTTAAATATCCCAGTCATATTAAAAGACTAGTATTTGAACGAAGAATATTCTTTTCGATAAATTCTCTTCAGGTTCTACAATTATATATCCAAATTAATAATCCGAAAAATGGCCAGTTTAAGGGTAAAGTACATAGTTTAAAGCATCTGAATTTAGGATTGTGATAAATAAAATACAATAAAATTGTGCATGTTGTTATGACTCATAAAGAATGTTAACTTGAATCTGAGTATATGTTCAGTGAGATTTTAAGATCTATGATCAGAATAAATATGGGTCAAGTAGGGTGAGAAAAATAATAGTGCAATTACCATTCGATCAAATAGGTAAGATGTAATAAGGAGGGAAGAATCATGTATAGGGGAAAGTATGCAGTAGATGACTTAACTGATGATTTGAAAATACCTTTTATGGACTATGTCAAGAACGTTATTGATCAGAGATCAGGAAAGAAACTCATCCAGCTACTGAAAGGTCTGGAAAAGCAAACGGCCGAAAGCAAATTTCCAACGGACTCTAAAAGGTATGTATATAATTTATCAAGTGTCGAATTAGATAAAGAAAAACTAGAGGTATTATCCCTAGGTATAAAATTTTGTGATACTCGTAATAACTGCAATCACATCGATACAGATATACAGTTCGAGAATCTTTATAGTCAGACACGTGATTTGGTTGTGAATTCGGATCAGCAATTAGAACATTTTAAATCAACTCTTGTAGACTGCTGTTACCAATATAAGAACAATAAATTTAGTTACAAAAGCATTCTTACGAAGAAGCACAAGGAAGCTATTCACCTACTTCTTAAGGATGAGACGTTACTGATTACAAAACCTGACAAAGGTTCAGGTATTGTTCTTCTTAATAAAAGTGATTATATTGAAAAGATGAGTACAATCTTAAATAACAAATTAAAGTTTCAAAAAATAACTGACCAGAAAGATTTGAATAATAAGATAGAAAATGAGCTTACCAGATCTTTGAAGAAGCTCAGGGACCAACAGACCATCTCGTCGAGTTTATATGAAATTATTAAACCAGTAGGAACCTATCTGCCGAGATTGTATGGATTGCCAAAGGTACACAAACCGGGGATCCCATTAAGACCTATTTTAGATATGTATAACTCTCCTTACCATACTATAGCTAAATGGTTGGTAACTATATTGAAACCGCTACACGAAAAGCTTGTAAAATATAGTGTTAAGGATGTGTTCCAATTTGTTGATAAAATCAAAAATGCAAATACGCTGGGTCTAAAGATGATGTCATTGGATGTAACATCGCTATTTACAAACGTCCCACTCATTGAGACTGTAGAATATATAGGCGAACAACTGATTGAAAACGAAATCGAGACTACTGTTCCTATTAATATCGTGAAAGAATTATTACTCAAATGCACCATGAATGTGAATTTTAAGTTCAACGGTGAAATATATAGACAAACAGATGGGGTTGCAATGGGTTCACCACTAGGCCCTATACTAGCTGATATTTTTCTAGCAAAAATAGAAAATGGTCCACTGAAAAAGATTATTCAAAACTTCACATTTTACTGTAGATACATGGATGACACGTTCATCCTGTGTAAAGATAATACGTCACCACAAGAGGTTCTTGGGCGATTTAATGAAGTACATCCAGCTATGCAGTTTACATCAGAAGAAGAGAATGAGGGCCGAATAGCTTTTCTGGACGTTATCTTGACTAAGAGAGCGGACGGGCCGTTGAAAAGGAACTTAAACAAAAAAGTACATGGACTGGGCAGTATACCCATTTTCTTAGCTTTGTACCTCTACAGCACAAACGAAACCTGATCAAAACCCTTAGTTATCGTATACGCGCTATATGTTCTGCTGATATAGTTGAACAAGAGCTTAACAGCTTGCATAATACTCTCAGGGAGAATGGCTACCCTAGAAAGTTTATAACTAAATATATGATCACGAAGGCGAAAATAGGCGAAATACAAACAGTGAAGAAGAAATCCCTGTTCATGTGTTTACAATTCAGAGGGGATGTGGCGAGTGAAATATTAACTCAGAGACTACGTAGGACAATACAAAAATCTTTTAACACCGGAGAACTGCGATTAGTGTTTTCTACGCGCCCAATGGTTACACCGAGACTAAAAGATGAATTACCTAGAATGACCACCTCATTTTGCCTTTATCAGTTCGACTGCTCCTGTGGAGCGAGTTATATTGGTCGAAGTTCTAGGAATTTACATTTTCGTGCTCGTGACCACCTTCCAGCGTGGCTTAACAAAGGTTTGATGAAGAAAGTGAACAGCTTAATATTAGCCCATTTAGTACAAACTGGTCATAGTGCCAGTATAAACCAGTCTTTTTCAATTATTTATAAGGTCAGTAATTTTTTGCCCAAACTGGTCAGACTGAAAGTCCTTCAAACAGCTGAAGCAATAGCCATCCGGATGAAGAAACCGGAGCTATGTGTACAGAAGAAATATATTCAACCACTCCTCCTCCCCTGGCCAACATCAAGGCCAACTAATCAATCGTAATCTTAACTATTGAATGACGTAATTTGACTATGACCTTTCGTAGTCAATTGTAATTTTCTCTGTTATCTTTATTCATAAATAATTGTATTATTATTATTATTATTATTATTATTATTATTCATTATTATTCTAACAACCAGAGCAACAATTTTTATAGGTACATGGAACGTCCGGACAATGTGGGAGACCGGGAAGACCAGTCAAATAGCAAAGGAAATGAGGAGATGCAACTTGGCAGTACTGGGAATCAGTGAAACCCATTGGACCCAAGCTGGACAACAAAGGCTAAATACGGGAGAGATGCTGCTAGACTCCGGTCACGAAGAGGAAAATGCTCCACACACTCAGGGAGTTGCTCTAATGCTATCCAAAGTAGCACGAAATGCACTTGTAGGATGGGAATCTCACGGATCCAGAATCATCAAAGCATCATTCAAAACAAAGAAGGAGGGTATCACAATGAACATTATCCAATGTTATGCACCTACCAATGATAGCAACGACGACGTTAAGGATCAATTCTATGAGAGGCTGCAATCAATCATAGAGAAGTGCCCAAGAAAGGACCTCACCATTCTGATGGGAGATCTAAACGCCAAAGTCGGAATGGACAACACCGGATATGAAGACATCATGGGACTGCATGGACTGGGAGAGAGAAACGAAAACGGGGAAAGATTTGCAAATCTGTGTGCATTCAATAAATTGGTCATAGGCGGTACAACATTTCCACACAAACGTATACACAAAGCTACGTGGATCTCACCGGACCACACCACAGAGAACCAGATAGATCACATTTGCATCAATAAAAAGTTCCGAAGGACAATGGAAGATGTGAAAACTAGGAGAGGAGCGGACATAGCTTCAGATCATCACCTGGTTGTGGCCAAATTGAAACTGAAGCTAAAGAAGAACTGGACAACTGGACAAACAGCACCACAAAGGTTCAATACAGCCTTCCTTCGAGATACTGACAAACTCAATGAATTCAAGGTAGCTCTCAACAACAGGTTCCAAGCCTTACAGGATCTACTGAAGGAAGAAGAAACTACTATGGAGGATAGCTGGAAAGGTATCAAAGAAACATTAACTTCAACGTGTCAAGAGATTCTGGGCCCCAAGAAACATCATCACAAGGAATGGATCTCTACAGAAACACTGGACAGGATCAAAGAAAGAACAAGAAGACAGCAATTAACAACAGTCGAACAAGAGCAGAGAAAGTCCAAGCACAAGCAAAGTACATAGAAGCAAACAAGAAAGTGAAGAAGAGCATTAGAGCTGATAAGCAAAAATACGTGGAAGAACTAGCAACGACGGCGGAAAAAGCTGCAAGAGAAGGAAATATGAGACAGCTTTACGATACGACGAAGAAGCTTGCAGGGAAATACAGTAAACCAGAGAGACCAGTCAAAGACAAAGAAGGAAGACCAATCACTGAGATTCAACAACAGCGCAACAGATGGGCAGAGTACTTCGAGGAACTCCTGAACAGACCGGCTCCAATGAATCCACCGGACATCGAAGCAGCACACACAGATCTTCCTATAAATGTCAATCCACCAACGACAGAAGAAATCAGAATGGCCGTCAGACAAATCAAGAGCGGGAAAGCAGCAGGACCTGACAATATACCAGCTGAAGCGTTGAAGTCAGACATCGAAGTAACTACAAGCATGCTTCATCTTCTATTCAAGAAGATTTGGGAGGAGTAACAAGTGCCGATGGATTGGAAAGAAGGACACCTCATCAAGATTCCAAAGAAAGGAGATCTGAGCAAGTGTGAAAACTACAGAGGCATTACACTACTGTCAATACCGGGTAAAGTCTTCAACAGAGTGTTACTGAACAGGATGAAAGACGCAGTTGACGCTCAACTTCGAGATCAACAAGCTGAATTCCGTAAGGACCGGTCGTGCACAGACCAGATTGCGACACTACGGATCATCGTCGAACAATCAATTGAGTGGAACTCGTCACTCTACATCAACTTCATTGATTATGAGAAGGCATTTGACAGTGTAGATAGGAGGACGTTGTGGAAACTTCTTCGACACTACGGAGTTCCTGAGAAGATTGTCAATATTATCCGGAACTCATACGACGGACTACAGTGCAAAGTACTGCATGGAGGACAGCTGACAGACGCATTCCAAGTAAGGACCGGAGTAAGACAAGGCTGTCTACTCTCTCCCTTCCTGTTTCTTCTGGTGGTCGACTGGATTATGAAGACCTCGACATCTGAGGGAAACCACGGCATACGATGGACAGCTCAGAACCAATTAGACGACTTGGACTTCGCAGATGACCTAGCCCTCCTATCACATACACACGAACAAATGCAGATAAAGACAGCCAGCATAGCAGCAGTCTCTGCATCAGTAGGCCTCAACATACACAAAGGGAAAACCAAGGTCCTCAAACACAACACGGAGAACAGCAATCCAATCACTCTTGATGGCGAAACTCTGGAAGACGTGGAATCCTTCACATACCTGGGAAGCATCGTCGATAAACAAGGAGGTTCAGATGCAGACGTAAAGGCAAGGATTGGCAAAGCAAGAGCCTCATTCCTTCAATTAAGAAACATATGGAACTCAAAACAACTTTCAACCAATATCAAAGTCAGAATCTTCAATACGAACGTCAAGGCAGTTCTACTGTACGGAGCTGAAACTTGGAGAACTACAACAACCACCATCAAGAAGGTACAGGTATTTATTAATAGCTGTCTACGCATGATACTCAACATCCATTGGCCGGATACCATCAGCAACAGCCTTTTGTGGGAGAGAACCAACCAGCTTCCAGCTGAAGAGGAAATTAGGAAAAGACGATGGAAATGGATAGGACATACATTGAGGAAATCATCAAACTGCATTACGAGACAAGCGCTAACTTGGAATCCTGAAGGGAAGCGGAAAAGAGGAAGGCCAAAGAACACATTACGTCGGGAAATAGAAGCAGATATGAAAAAGATGAATAAGAACTGGAAAGAGCTTGAAAGGATTGCCCAGGACAGGGTTGGATGGAGAATGCTGGTGAGCGGCCTATGCTCCTTCGCGAGGAGTAACAGGCGTAAGTAAGTAAGTAAGTAAGTAATACATGATTCTTCCCTCCTTATTACGTCTTACCTATTTGATCGAATGGTAATTGCACTATTATTTTTCTCACCCTACTTGACCCATATTTATTCTGATCATAGATCTTAAAATCTCACTGAACATATACTCAGATTCAAGTTAACATTCTTTATGAGTCATAACAACATGCACAATTTTATTGTATTTTATTTATCACAATCCTAAATTCAGATGCTTTAAACTATGTACTTTACCCTTAAACTGGCCATTTTTCGGATTATTAATTTGGATATATAATTGTAGAACCTGAAGAGAATTTATCGAAAAGAATATTCTTCGTTCAAATACTAGTCTTTTAAAATAATTTTTGCTGTTCCGCATATCAGTGGCTGTTTATCTTATATGCATTGGTGTTTCCGTTATCTCTTACAGGTTTCATGATTCAACATTATCGTTTCTACATAACAATGCTAACTTGTATAGCCTTTCTTACTCCTTCAGTGATTACTTTATTTCTCGTACCTGAAACAAGTGTAAAAACAATACAAGTTGAACAGACAGAAGATATTGAAAATTCATCCAATGAATTATGCATTACAACTCCAATAATTCATAATGAAACTAGTAATCATCAAGAGTCCTCTAGTAATTATTCAGTTCACATACAATCTGAAAATAGCTGTACGAATAAGCTACATGTAAGAGAGTTGTTGTAAATTATGCATTATACTTTCAGTGCATCACAACCTCCTCTTAGTATTTTAAAGGTTAATTAAATATTATTTATTTGACAATATGGTTGACTTGGCATTAGCTTACTAGTTTAGATCATAGCATCAGATCTTATCTTCATCATCTTTCCATCTAATTCTAAGGAATTAATTTATAGACTAAATGATAATAACTAGATCAAGCTACTACAATGCTCGCGTTCATAGTGTTTTTATGTACAGAACTTCTTACTTATCATGTAATAGAAAGTAATCACCTATAGAGTTAACTTGCAAACAAACAGTGTTCATTGAACAATTATTTTAAAGTTTTTGATAACAAATATGAATGTTAGTCTGGCTGTTTAAATAACCTTTGTAAAGTGTGATAAATATACCCGAACACAACGGATATTTTACCATCGTATGATGTTATTTAAACTTTGGAATTAAACGCCATGTGATTTACATGCACTAACGGTTTTCTAAATAATAAAATTGTAACTTCCCAACATAAATACTCCTTTGTTACTTCGAGTTTGGAGTGTACATCGCCATTCGGTTAAGTATTTTTAAACTAAGTTTGATAAATCTTTCAGTTACAAACAGTAATAAATGCGGTTAGTTGACCTCATTTTTTGAAACTGACATGTCATACCCAAGTACATGCATATCTAAGAAATAGTCAAGACCTATTGATTCTTCTGAATGATCATGAATGATAGTGTTGTTATGTACATGTCTTTATTATTAATATAATTTTAGCGACTGTGAATCTAGAAAGTCATTTAAACTGTGAATATACCTAGATCGCTAATTAGTTGGAACGGTAATGATTCGAAACTTTGTATGTGTAGATATTTCTCACTATACTTCTACATGATTTCATATAATCCTTTTAGTTATATGTAAGTGCTTTTGAATTGCTTTTCAGATTATATCAAAACTACCTCGTACTCATATAATAATAATTATCATTATTTTCATGTTTTCCATCTCTGGTATGACGGATACGCAATATTTATTTCTTTACTTCATGAGTAGTCCTTTTATGTGGGATGCACAAGCAGTTGGTTTATTCACGTAAGTTTACGTACTGGAGTTTTTCATCTAGTGTTTAGTAACATTAGGAAACTGATTTTCTAAGCATTGTGATTCATAAGTTATTTGTCTATAGCCTATTAGTCGTTTCAGCGATACGAACTTCATCAGTCAAAACGATTCGCCATTTTTGCTCTGTTTTACCGTCCTCACATGTGCTTAAAGCTTTTGTTCAATCACTGAGGGTTTTAGACCAGGCTTTACAACCAGTATTGCAGTGATAGTTGACTGTATACTAATTCTGAATGTAATACCTTTTTCCTATAGTCGTTTCTTTCATAAAACTAAAGCCCTGTAGTTTCGAAAGTTATGTTTCAATTGAAATATGGTTTTGGGGGGAGAAAGGTTTGTTTTTGAAGGTCTCAAACTTAAACTTTATTCGGTTAAGAAATGAATCTCAAATTAAAAAGATGACAGAAAATCAACCAAGTAAATGCCTAATTTCTTTGTTGTCTATTTTGTTATTTCCAGTTTGAGAATTAATAATGTAAAATGAATTCATCTGCTATACGAAAGAAAGGAGCACTAGGTTTTATTGTCATCTAAATACTCATAATCCAATACGTTCAGTGGTGGTGTTTATGTTTTTCGAAGGCTCATGTTATGTATTTGTATCTTTCGTATATTGATTTTATTTGATGCCTCAAATATATTGTTCTTTCCCCCCCCCCTCAAACCCCATCATCGAGTAACGTTAAATACCCACATTTTTCTATCATTTTGAAATCACACCTATCATATAAAATATATATTTCCTAGTTCAGATTTACTACATGGCAAAATGAGGTTTTTCAGCACAATTTTCAGGGATCCGAAAACGAATTATTTACTAATGTTATGATTCTCTCTTATTACAACCCAGCTGTTCCTATTGCTTATTATTCTTGGACACTAATTCACTCGACAAGTTCCCAAATGAGAACATGGTTGAACAGAAAGGAAATTATATCCCAAATAATAAGGGTAGATGGAAGTAAGAAGCATAATAAAAGAAACGTTAGTGTATTCATAGTTTTAACATGAGATGATTCTAGAGCCTTCAAGTATCGACTAGTGCTGATTGGATAAGTGATATTTAAGTAATCAACAAATGAACTAGAGTCTGTGATATGATCTAGTGATCATAACGGTGCAGTGAACAAGAACACGAGTGGGGACAATCGAACATAAATGACATTAAATTACAGAGCATCTCACTAAAATCTGAGAACCATATAGCAAATCATTCATTTGCAAAATATCAATGCATCGTCTCAAATTTGACTGTTCCTTTTGCAAATATCAGTCCTTTGTCTCAGATTTCATTGTTCATGCATTTTCATACCAATTGCGTTCCGTTCCCGTTCTTTCCTTATCGATCTTCTACTGAAATACATTCTATGTCGGACCACCGTTATATACTACTTATGTGGATATAAGTAACCCACAGCACAACGATACAAAGAAATATGCGAATTGTTACTGTTCTAATAACATTGTCTGTTAAGTAAGTTAATAAAAGGGCTTAACCAAAATTAACCATAATTGAAATTGGTCGTAGAATAGTTGCTATATACAACTTAATGTATAATGTTGAGAAACTTTGTTAACTTTGTTAGCATGTAAAAACAGTAGTATTCAACCTATCCACTACCCAGTTCTGTTTAGATTGTATATAACATGTAAAACAATTTCATCCCTAAGCCCTAATTCTGAAACAAAATTTAATCCAATGGTACTATACTTCATGAACGAACTAACTAGATCTAAAATAGCACTTCTTTGGATTTTTGAGTGAAATTCATTCATCCGTATGATTACATAAAGCTTGAGCATTATGGTTGGTATTTGTTCTTGACAGAAACTTTAATCCTAAACATAAATAATACGGGGACTCTTAAAAATCTGCTTTTATTTTTGAGAAAACGAAGAATCTGTATCCATACGATCAAAAATAAATGTCATCGTTTGTTCGATTTACAGAGAGTAACCTGTATAAGATGTTAATAGGTTCATTCATTCATATGTAAAATCTATGTACGCTCTCGTAGTATTATTGTTTTCTTTTCCATGAACTATCCAGTTACAAAAGGGGATTTCTGATTAGCTAAAACCTGGATAAAAATTCGTTCTGATTATCTAAGCTCATCCTTTTTCTATACCCTCATCATATTTCCTTCATCTTCATTATTCTATATAAGATAGTGAGAACATCTAATTATTTATTTGGAATCCAAACATTTGATCTTACATATTTTCTACTTAGATATGTGGTAGATGTTTCAGGAGAATGAAAACGTTCATTCGAAAGTACATTCTTAGATTTAGTACAGTCCCTTTTTGCTAGTATAATGCGAAGATGGAGTTCATTTGAAAAATGATATGTATTTGCAACATATATTTCGAACAATCTGACCATACTTGTACTTGTCAAGGCATTTTTACATATGAAAACTAATAAAGGTCAATTAAATGAATGCTTGAATAAATATAAACTGATGATTAAAAATATAAGAGTGATAAAAATAATATTCAAACTCAAAGAATGTTTGAACAAACAATTGTCATCAATAACTTCATCACCAAGCTCTACAGCTCTATATACACAATTATTATGTTAGAATGGTTAAAATAAGTAATATACAAATGTAATTAAGATAAGAAATTCATATGAATTGAGTAGAATGAATGTGCTGAGATTCATGGTAAGCGTCTGTTATACCCTTTAATTATAGAATGACACATTCATAGCCCATGGTAGATACGGTAGTCGAATGTGCACCTCTTTTCGATACAAAAGTTCGATTTTTTGGAGACAATTTCGATTAAGTCTGTTATTTATGAGAACTGTAATTTCGCTCGTTTAATTAGATAAATTAGGACTTGATACAAGACCGAGAAAAGTTCGTCTATTTATGTATTATGTTCGGTATCTATTAAGTGAAAAAAGTATGGCCTTGTTGGTCGATTTCGTGATTCTTTTTCAAGCCATACTGGTAATTGTTCACAAACACATGTGGTTTTTAGACCTATATGGAAACATGGGTTTCGTTGTTTCAGTTGCAATCAATTTCCAAGCATTTTATATTTTTAAAATGACTGTTTTTGTTTCGAAATTTTGCTATTTGATTCTTCCCTCTAAGATAATGCAATGTAAACCCTTTTTCGATATTGAAATACGAAGGGGTCTCGGTTTTATCTGACTGACGGATTGGTAAATTTCAATTATGTTGCTATCGTCGGTTTTAAATTCCCCTTCAATCGCACCCATGCTGTAAATCCATATCAATATTAGTTTTTCTAAATATACTCTATTTTGCGCCCACCTTTACTGGAGGATGCCGTTCCTACTCGCTACTTTCTCTCGGCAGGAATGTTGTTTACGAAGTTGAGAGGACGAAAAGCGAGTGTCCGGCCATAAGACCGGGTTGGTGCGTACGGGGTATTCATCTAGAGGTGTAGAGAAATCATGATTCCAAACCAATGGTGCACATAGATTCCAGAATCCCAAGGGAATAAACAGGGTTTGAACCTGTTCTTAATTTTCGACCACCATGAGGTCGCATTTCTTAATGTTGTTCCACTGCTTTTAGGTCAAAGGTGCGGTGAGTGGTCACCTAAGAAAACTGCCTGTTTCCGTTCGAACAACCGAGCAAGTATCACAGTCGCCCCTCCCCATGGATTTTGTGTGGCACGTATATATTCGAATGCTCTTTGTACGAACGTTTATGTCCTTATATAAATAAATAATTAGGAATAACAGAAGGATATGGTGTTCTCCGGAGATTATAGTTCACTTTTGCTGATTAGTGTCAATAAACAAAGAATTTTACTTTTTACCAGAAAATATTAACTTTTAATATTTCTGAGTATTATTATATTGATCGTTACACTTGTATTTTAACTTATACCTAAAAATATGTTCTATCTTTTTTTGTTCAGAGGTTTAAGAGATGTATGCTGCACATTTGTATCTGTGTTATGTGTCAGTATGATGGTCAAGTTTCGTAAAGATCAACCAACTAATCATGTTGAAGTAGTATCAATGTCAAATAGAATGAATACAACATTATTTAGTCGTTTAAAATCTGTAGATCAAATTCTTCTCATTATGTTGGTATTTTTTGGGTTTTTAATTTTCTCTATTCATCAAATCATTATGGGCATAGCTTCTACATTCACAGTTCCAACAGCAAATATTCTGGTTTATTTCGGTATGATCTTTTTTGTCGGATATCTATTTGCGTTACCATTGCTTTTAATACTTAATTTGAAAAATGTAAATCGCATAGGTTTAATCAATGCTACAAAAGTCAATTTACATCTTTTATATATTCTAAAATGTTAATAGGTGATCTTTGGGTTATTCTATAAATGACCTGATATCCATCAATTAATTGATCACTATTTAGTTTTGTTTGTACCGTTTATTGCTTTGAACTGTTTGATGATATGTGAGTTATTATGGCTGTAAAAACATGACTGAAGTATTCTATCTAAGATGATTATTGACTATCAGCTGTAATTCTTATATTAATGCTAGTTTAGTTAGCATTGTTTTGTATTCAGTAGTTGGTTGATGTGTTTGTTGAATTTTACTAGATTAAACGAACTCGCTGCCCTCTCTTTAAAAAAAACATAGTAAACAAGTACTTATAAGTACACCGAAAATATGTAAACATATAGACATACAGTCAGTACGACATATATCACTGAAAAGTGTTTTCCATCATATATTGTGTTTATATATTGTATATTCATAATTTAAATGGTCCGCATTTTCCTGTTGTCAGTGTTCATGATATATGTATTCAATTAACAAACGTATATACTAAATAAACGTCGAACAATCCGATCCTGAATCCTCTTCAGTAGAAGGTACAAATGTTTAAACTAATATTATTTGCGAAAACGTAGAAGTCTGGGCTCATGGATTTTCGTTAATTTAAAATTGTTTAATACATTAATTAAGTTGATTTTTCTATGTTTTTCCTTGTTATGCATACTATCGATTTATTGACTGTGTATATTAGATAATTCGAATGTAGCTAGAAAAAATATCTAGATAATGTTGTGCTTATTTATCGCTCATTCTCATGTTATTTGTAAATTAAAAAAAACACATTTTAAATGGTTTTTTATTTTGTCATTATTATTAGAAAGGGTTTCAATAATCCCATTGTTGATCTTTCAGTCTGAATTTGATCAGTTTTTGTTGGTTTATGTGCATTCCGTGCGGATTGCCTTGAGATTGTCATTTTGTCACAAATTTTATCGAATAGATGAGTTATTGCTAGCAGTGAGATCCAGGATATGCGTTTCGTTCTATTTAAAACTCGTTAGTTGGATACACCCGTTGATAAGAATTCAATTTTGATTATCATCAGAGGAGTAACCCAAACTCTCACTAGTAATAATATGAATATAATATTGATAGAGGAAGTTATTAGCTATAGTTAGCTCAGTGGATAACACCTTGAGCGTTTAAGGCAAAAATACTGTATCCGAGTCTCAGTGTAAGCATTAGTAATGCGATGCAAATACATCATCACTATTCTTTATCGTCATTCTCTCTTCCCTTTTTTATTGTTTACGATTTTTTCGAATACTCTTAAGTTTGTTCCTCTTTGTTTACTTTTATTATACAGCTACAATTCCAAGATTTGTTAAAGGTTTTCAAATATCCATACTTCGAACTATTATATCAAAATGGACAGAAGTCTCTAAACAAGGTGATGATTATATGTTTTATCTATTTTAATGGATTAGTTTTTTCCTGATGAATTATTACTGTTTATTTCGTCAAACTATGTGTACTGTGTTCTTGTTTAGTTCAGAAAACTAAACTTCATCAAAATTGTTGTATTAATATAGTGTTACAAGACATAAAGTTATGGATCGTAGGTTTGTTTTTAATGTTCACTTAAAATTTTGTGTGTTGTGTCCATGCTATCACATGAGCATTCAAACTTATGTATAATGATACTTTTATAAGGTGATTGTGTAGCCTTCAACTCTTGGGCTTGATTCACAATACAATGCAGTAATATAAAACAGTCTAAAACAAATTTTAGTCAGAACAAAGGTTGGTGCAGAATAATATCAATTCATTTTATTCCGTTAGGTTCTCATCAGCTGCTTACAACCTAAAATATTTGAAATTCAACGTTATTACAGATATTGACATATATCAGAGGGTGATGAAGGATGAACATGATGTAGCAAAGATGCTGTTAGAGATAATGACGTTATTAAATTTGTTTCGAATATATATATTTTGGGAGGGGAGGTTCCATAACATAGAAATAGTGATTAGAACTCATGGGATTAAAACACATTAGATGATTATGTAATGAAGTAAATGAAAAATAAATTAATAGTAATAAAGAGAGATATGAATTGAAATCAGTTATGAATGATGTAATTATAAAATTTTGGAAAGAGTTGGAATGACGTAATAAATAAAAGACGGGTTAATGTTACCAGGGCAAAGAAAGATTTATTACTGTTTCATTTTGTATACAAAGATTTCGTTTTAAAAGTTTGATTGCTATCGCCTCGGCAAATTTTAAAAGGTTGGGATTTGATTGTTTGTTGATCACCTTGAAGGACTTCAGTATATCGATTTCGTGTCCTGTGTCAAGATGTCTTGCGATAGCGCTGCTGAATGTTTTTGGTCCGTTTGATCTCAAACCCTTCGGAATATGTTCTTTGAATCGGATGTAGGCTCTCCTTTCTGTTCTACCAATGTAACTGCTTTGGCAGATACATGTAAATTTGTATACACAGTTGGTGGTAACATCACCCTCTGATATATGTCAATATCTGTAATAACGTTGAATTTCAAATATTTTAGGTTGTAAGCAGCTGATGAGAACCTAACGAAATAAAATGAATTCATATTATTCTGCACCAACCTTTGTTCTTGCTCTCCTTAAAATACTAAAGGGAACTATGTGTATGAAATTTTAGTCAATTAAATCGCCACTTTTCTCAATAAACTTTGGTTTTTAAATTAAATCTAGTGTGACATCTTTCAGGAGAATTTTTCTGGGATTTTAACTTGTAGCACTGATTTGCTGTTTTATCTTTTAGTGAAAAATTCCATACTTCAATGTATCTATTCTTCATTGTGATATGAGAATATCACAGGCACTTAATGGTACGCTACTAATCTCTTCTCATGCTTCATTTATATGAAATGATAAGATCGATCAGATTTCGTTATGGCATTAAGAATTTATTTTTACTACAATTCATGAATGTCTGTGATGGTCATATTGAAAACATTTCTATTAATAATTCAATTTGAAATGGTTTGACTTATCTTGTTGCTGAACTTGAATCAGTCATTGTTGATATATGTACATCCTGTGCACATTACTTTGATATAGCCAATATAACGCAAATTGAAGAAAATTCTATAGAATATAGCTGCTCGTGGAACAATAAAGAACTAGACAATTGTTAGTAGTGTAATAAGCATTTGTTTAGGAATTATTTAAGCTATGTATGTCTAATTTACTGAACACAGTATTATCACAAAATTGTTGTATTCCAGTTTTCTTAAGAAACAAACTGACCTTTTCAAAGTTAAGTTGTTTGTTTTCAGTTCACAGGGTAAGTTGAAGTTCATAAATTAGTTTAATAACTGTAACCTTTTTCATTTGATCATACGATACGGCTGTCATTTATGTATTTAACTGTTTTAGGATATTTAATCTTGTTTACATAAAATTTAATTTTTTCAAAAAAAATTTGTTAACCTCTGTTTAATTTTCTTAACATTCCCTTTAGGTATGGTAATGTCTGTTATTGCTGTAATGGAACGCCTTGGGATATTGATCAGTGTTGTAGCTCTACCAGTTATATACGCTGCGACAGTTAGCACTTTCAAAGGATCGGTATTTTTTGTTTGCGCCTCTTTGACAATTTTGGAAGCTTTAGTAGTCTTGTAAGTGTCGTACAAGAAAAAGGACAATTTGTTTTATGTTTTAAAATTCTACAATATTATAGATTCTTGCATTTCATCAATGTTTCAAAATTCTCTTTTACACGTAATGATGTGGTCTATTTGTCAATTCACAGCCGTCTGGTATATCAAATCGGATGCCGAAAAAAATGTCAATTAGTTAGTGTATTACAAGTGTTTCCCAATTGTTGAATGAATTATGCAGATAAACGTTTAAAACGACATAAATTGGTAGACAATCAACTTACAGTCGGTAAACGATCACATACTTTCAATATAATTTACTTTCGCTAGTTAATCTACCCTCTTAGTAATTAAATAACGTGCGACACAGTCACGATTAATTTGTTCTATTTTGTAAATAATGGATGGAGTACAATGGTAAGTAAAAGTTAAGTTTGTTTGTTCAATATATAGCAAGCTTTTAAAATCTATATTAGACCTCAGATTACATTTAAGAAACATGAATACCGTATTTGTTTTCGCTGCGGGGGTGTTGTTTACAAAGTGGAGAGGACGAAAAGCGAATGTCTGGAGCCGTAACCAGGTTGGTGGATATGGAGGATCCACCTAGGGGAGTTGGAAAACCCTGATTCCAAAGCAATGATGCACATGGGCTTCAGGATCCTAAGGGAACATGTGGAACTCAGAACAACTGTCTCCCAACCAACAATAAATTCGGAATATTCAGTACGAACGTGAAGACAGTTCTACTGTATGGAGCTGAAACTTGGAGAACTACCACAACCATCATCAAAAATGTACAAGTATTTCTAAACAATTGTTTACGCAAGATACTCAATGTCCTTGGTCGGATATCATCAGCAATAACATATTGTGGGGGAGAACAAACTAACTTCCATCTAAAAAGGAAATTAGATAAAGACGTTGGAAGTGGATAGGGCGCACATTGAGTAAATTACCAAAATGCATTACGAAGCAAGTTCCAACTTGTAATGGTGATGGAAAACAGAAAGAAGGAAGACTGAATAACACACTGCGTCGAGAATTGAAAGCGGATACGAAAAGGATGAATAGCAACTGGAAACAAATGGGAAGGATTGTCTGTGACAAAGTTGGATTAAGAATGCTGACGAGCGGCCCATGCTCCTCCATGAGGAGTAACAGGCGTAAGAAAGTAGAGCTACGTTGAAAAACTAGTTAAAATGAAATATATCTTCTCTTTACATATCTTTTTACTGTGTCTTAATGTGAGTTCTCATTTGCCAATGAATAGACAAATTACTTTCCGAAATCTTACCATTTTTTTAGAAAACTATCAGTATATTTATTGATAAATTTCTATATTGCACTTGTAATTTTTTGTAAATTTTCGTCTTTAATAACTAAATGTTTGTTGAGAAATTGAAGAAATAGAGTAATAGTTTAAATTAGTTGATTAACTAATCTCTGTTTATACTGTTAACACCAAACGTGTACTCCGAATGATTAGGATTTATTCCTTCCTCAGACAGAGCGGGAGAGAGAGGAGTAGTGCTTATTGATCAGTACTGACTGGAAAATGGTATACAAATATACATTTTATTTGTTGAAAGCTAAGTGCATGAACTACTGAACTAACTCTTCATCACAATTACAAATACCTATCTTTTTATATTCAATAAATATACTGGATCATAGTTATACTCGTATCCTGATTTGTTTTCCCTATTTTTTAGAATTTTACCAGTATATGCTCCAAACAAATTGTCACTGGAATCGTAATCAGTTAATTATTGTTTATATCATCTGTTATGTAATTGAACTTAAGGAAGAAAAAAAGAGACAGGAATCCAGACTTTATTAAAAATATAATCAACTCATTTATTTATTTATTTTCTTACAATAAATCATTTATATTTTCAGAACATTTGTTACGTTTCTACAATGAATCGCTATGTATTGGTGACTCTGATAAGAGGACTGCAAACACCATTGTTCGGTTTTAGTTTGAAACTCTTTAGCATTATATAGATTAAAAATATTGCTTAACCAAATATCATTTAACTATTAGTCTATATTTTCTAACCTTATATAGCATGATGTCGTTGACAGACATCCGTTCAACCCTTGATATAACTGACTATATAGATCACACTACTTCTTAATTTATCTTCAGAAGTAAATATTTGAGATAGATTATTGTTCGTGTTTGTGAGAAATAGTTTGGATTCAAGATAATTTTTCTCAGAGAATGATTGTTACACCTTGTGTGTACAAGTATTCTAAACAAGTGTTTGTTCAAGATACTCAATATTCGTTGGTCAGATATAATCATCAATAGCATAGATTTGTAAATTATCTAATGGAATATAAAAACTGTCATGTTACTTACTATTAATGTACTTACATCGTGGGTAAGTTGCCTTGCTATTACTGTTCAGTCACACATTTTTTATAGGTCGGATAGGAACTAGAAGTGAAATCTAGGACTAACGTTTGATCATATTTAGGACTCATCAGCTAGATATACTTGCATCTCGGTGTTGATATTCATATTGAGAATCGAACATAGTATCTTTAGCCTTAATCATCAAGTAAACAACTCATTGGAGTCTGAAGGGAAAGGTACTGGGTCCAAGTCTTAGTGTAGATATCAACACTGGGATGTATAGTCATCATAATGCTTCTTTCATTGGTAGAGGTTCCTACTCAGGAAAAGTTTACCTTAATACAGTTAAAGTAAATTATAATTCAAGTTTTTGTGATATTAGGCAAAGTATATATAGAATCTAATATATTAAATTGCTTCTAACATTCATACCTCTGATTATTATTGTGATTTACGTCTTCACTTACATCTTGAAAAAAAATTGATTGTGCCTATAATATGTGTATGGAAACTGTTTATAACAAAGGTTTTTTTCTGTTTAAAAATATTTTTTCTAGAGGTTTGATTTGTCATTTTTGTTTTAATTATAATTTACGTGTTTTATAAGAATTTGTGTTTGAAATGTGTTATCGTTAAATAAATCATTAATTAAGCCATATTCACAAAATCATCTGATAATGTTGGCATTGATAGTAATTATTATTATCTTCTATACATTTTTCATCATAACATAATCTGTACGTTAATTCTCTTGAAAAAGTTTTGTTCATAAAGGATTGTTTAGTATTATATATGATCTAACATACTGTTGTAACGTTAGAATGCCTTAAAAACTGTTTTGGAGAAAAACATTTAGATCTAGAGAATGAGTGTAATCGAACAAAAGTAATTATAGGTATAATTAACTTTTGATGTTGTACATTGTTTTATAGCATCGATTAGTTGATTACAATATATAGTTCATATTCTAAGTTACTGTATTGAAGTAAATTTTTTATTCAAATCATTGTACTTTTACAGTGTGAATGACACATACTTAAGACACATATAGTAATTCATTCCAGTAAGTAGCACCGTGTTTTATAAACAGACTTACTAAAAGCAATAGGCAACTGTATTTCTGAAGTTTTATTTCCATAGGAAAAATTAGTTTATTGCAATATTCAAGTTTATTTCACTTGAATTAAGTCAGTCGGTAAAGATTACCTAATAATAATGATTGGATAACTGCATAGAATCACTTGAACCCTCTATAAATCTAGGGAAACTATATTGTTCCACACTATTGTATACAATTTGTTGATAGAATTTTTTAAGTGAAAATGAGTTGGAAACGGACATACTTGTTCGTACATACTTTATACCGTATGCACTGTTATGCGTAATTCGTATTTTGAATACAACTCATTCTACCACAAAAGCGTATAAATCGGAATTAGTGCTAGAGTTGTCGTTCCTCCCTTCATTTACTAGCAAGTTGTAATTGCAGTTTTAAGATAATCAATGTCTCTTGTGGGGTCATAAATTATTTTATAGAATTCTTTCGATATCCAAAAATAAAAACAACATGATATCAATCAATTACTACTCGGTGACCGATTATTGTGAATATCTTCGTCTTACAGGGGATCTTGCGCGGTCCTTGTAGCTTATTGGTTAGCTCTTAGACTATGACGTGAACGACTCACTTCATCCCGCCACCGAATCATGGATTTCTTCGAAATTCTAAATAAGCAATAACTAAAGAGTCAAATCTATCACGAAACTTACGTTTAGTACTTCCCATTGGTTGCTTACAATCACTTAACACACGATGAGACACTGTATACAGGCACAATTTTTTCAACGTGCTTTTAAATTGTTAGTAATATTTCATGAGTCGATTGAATCTAGACCATCATAAAAGACCTGGAAGCACTGTACGGTCGTTTCGTTCTAGTATGTTACTCCTCGGCAGTGCTCATCCACGATCCCGCCTCCCTCGATATCCAAACACAGGACCTATCAGTCTCGCGCGTGAGCGCTTAACCATCAGACCACTGAGCCAGCATCCAACAGTGTTAATGTCTAACTTCAACCAATCCAAGAAGTTGCGTTACCGTACACCATTGTCTTCAGTGAGTTAATATCTCACAACAGACCTGGTTGAACTCCACTGGTAACGACTTCTCACTAAAACTCCAGGATATACCTATTGAAGCCAGTCACTAGTGAGCAGATGTTTATTATCAGAAGGGGTTTCGTGGAGATCTTATGAATTTCGCTAGTTGAAATCATGAGTCAATTGAAGTTAGACATTAAAATCATTGTATGCGATCGCGCGCGAAACTAATATGCCCTAGGTTTGGATCTCGCGGGAGGCAGAATTCTGGATAAGCACTGCCGAGGAGTAATAAACTAGGATGAAACAGCCGTCCTATGTTCACAGGTTTTCCATGGTGGTCTAGCTTCAATTGACAAATGATTTCAACTAGTGAAATTTCTAAAATATCCACAAAATATCTTTGATGTAATCCGATACAATACAGTACACTTGTTCAATTTCAATTACAGTAGCACATCTCCACTCTGTTGATCAGGTCAACACACAATCTCTCAGACACATCATTCAACTCATCCACATATCTGGAAAATAGTCATCCAAACTACCCAACATATGGAAATCTTGCAATGTGTATGTAGCACTCAACTAAGCACGCATCAAGCACACTCCCAACATAAATACCATTCGTAAATTCATCACTACTAATCACACGTTCCAATAACATTTTCAACACAAACACTCAACAAACACCCACACACACACACACGTTCACATTCACACCTACACACTCAGAACGCAGATCTACGCAACTCCTCAAGTGAACTGTCAATCCTCATCAAGTCGATTTTAACACCATCGCACACGTACCACGTGAAATCCGTTGAACAAAACCAAGTGTGAATTATTGCTCTTTCATGTACGTACACAAACACACACACACACACTCACTCACATACACAACACACCTACAGATCATACACATACACATACACATACACATACATACTTACATACATGCATTCATAATACACACATACACGCACACACACACGCAAGTGGATTGTTTCAATTGAAGTGCTCGACATCGGGTGTGAGCACGTGTTTGCTCCGAATGCCAACTTCAACCAGTATAAATACTGTGGTTGAATGTATGCAGTCAACAACAAGTTGACAGCAAACGACAATGCAAATCTTCACTGTATGTTGAAATACTGTTCTGTGTAATAATATATGCCTGATCGGTGTTGTTATTTCAGCTCGTCTTAGTTGTACTGGTCATATCATTCGAATGTCACAACTCAGGTGAGTCTTATCTTACTCCATCGCATAACATGAAGTTGCCACTTACTGGCGAGTAATTACAAGAGTATCCCACTTGCTCATTCAGCCTTCAGATAAACACAACAGTGTTGTGTCATGTGTTCAAGTGAAGCGAAGTCGACTGATGCGAAGTCAACACGACTGAAATGAATAGTAATGTGGTGGGTTGTCGATTTCTGCAACAACATGTAGTGAAGTGGGCTGAATAGAGGTGTAGGCATGTAGTTGTTTTGTTTTGCTCTGTCATATTCCATGTGAATCATATTGTGACGTTGTGTTATTTGGTTTTCAGTGATTGCAGAACCAGCACCAGACAGTCAGGGTGGTTGTTGTCCTGGTGCATGTCCTCAATGCCCTAGATGCTGTGGATGTCGTGGATGCCAAGGTGGAAACTGTTATGGAGGCTGCTGCAGAAACTGTCGACGTGATTAGCACAACACTAACAGTCATCTCCCTTCAACATCCAATGACGAGAACCCACCATCAAATATGTAGTTTCTAATCTCTCGATCAAATATACTTGTACTCTTACAAAACTAACAATGTTTCTCTTTTCACCATCACAAACTGTCAATTCCCATCTTTGTCCTGACACACATCGTCTCCAACCAGTCACTATTGTGTGCGCAAACTGATCACATGATCAGTGATCAATCAACACTTCAATAGGTAACATCACAAACGTACCACCACAAAATCACCATCGCTCGCTACTCCACAACTCATCCGTACATACATTCACATTCAATCAATCAGTCAATCAACCCATCAATCAATCGATCAATCAATCAATCGATCAACCAATCAATCAATCACACACACACACAAACCAAAATACAAATACTAATCACGTATACATCATTGTCACTCACATCCAATATGCTTGGATATTCGAATCCCATCAATTCGTAAGCGATTACGGTGTTCTCGAACAATCCACCTACATTCAATCCAATATCGACCAGCTCACACACTCATTTACAGTTTAACACGCGATAACGTACATACATTTTACCATATACAGGTGTATGAAGAAACTCACCGGTATACGGATCTAGATAAACAGATACACAAGTCAAACATTCCATTACGGAACAGTCGCAATTCCACAAATCAATCTACTGAAATTCATACATACGTCTCACTATGACACATAATACACTGTCAGTATT